TGGTGCTGGTAGGGGCAGTGAGCTCTGGGGCTGCTGAGCTGCTGTAAGTTAAGTAGCAAAGATGAATCCGTGGAGCTGCTTTGAGGAGCTGAGAGGAAATAAAAGCCCTCAGCTACAGAATGATCTCCAGGAAGTTGTTGGGTACCAGCGGTCAGGTCAGTGCTCTGGTTCCTGTCCTGATCCTGTGTTGTTTGATTGCTGCTGGTCTCTTGCTACAGGAGATGTGGCAGGTAAGAGCTCTTATCTCACTTGGGGTCTTGGAGGGGTTTCTGCCCCATAAGTCAGAATTCACAGCACTGTCACTTGGGGATGAGTGTGTCAGCACTGTCTTGCTTGGTGCAGCTCAGCTCTGCACAAGTCACACAAGGCTGATTATGAGCACAGATTCTCTGTGGCTCCCCTCTGCCTCCCCTGCATCTGAAACACTCCCTGGATCCCCTGTCCCCTGCAGCTCCTTGTAAGCTGGTTATGAAACCCCATGTTCCCCACTTCCCTCCAAAGATGGTCCAAACCCCACTGTCAGTCCTCAGTCTGCTTATTCCAGGGAAGGTGCGTTCATGGGAAGGAGAGGAGGCATTCGGGACAGGAAATCTTCCTCTCTTGCTGCGCAGACTCTGGTTTTGATGCTGTTAAATACCTCTTTTGAGTTATTTTCATTTTCTATGCACAGGCAGTTTCTTTCAAGTGGTGGTTTTTGAAATGAGAAGTGCTTGAACAGAGAAACAGCCCTGCAAATAATCTACTGGAAGCTGGGAGGCAGCACTTTGATAGCAAATGAGCCTGGAGCAGCTATGCTCTGGAGCCAGGCTGAGAGAGCTGGGCTGGGGCAGCCTGGAGAAGAGAAGGCTCCTGAAGGGGAGACCTTAGAGCAGCTCCAGTGCCTAAAGGGGCTGCAGGAAACCTGGAGAGGGGCTTGGGACAAGGGCCTGTAGGGACAGGCCAAGGGGAATGGCTTGAACCTGCCCGAGGGGAGACTGAGCTGAGCTCTTAGGCAGAAGCTCTTCCCTGTGAGGGTGCTGAGGCGCTGGCACAGGGTGCCCAGAGAAGCTGTGGCTGCCCCATCCCTGGCAGTGTTCAAGGCCAGGTTGGACACAGGGGCTTGGAGCAAGCTGCTCCAGTGGAAGGGGTCCCTGCCCATGGGAGGGGTTGGAGCTGGAGGAGCTTTAAGGTCCCTTCCAACCCAAACCAGGCTGGGATTCTATGAACATCAAACAGCCATGGGACTGGCAGTGTACATGGCTTCACCTTGCTTCTTTCAGAGTTAAATTTGCCCTTGCCCAAGGGGCTCAGGGCACTGTCTCCTTAAAGCCTGGTTTGGCCTTCCCTGGCGCAAGCTGTGTGTTTCCAGAGCCATCAGCATGCCAAGGAGCATCAGAGCAGGCCAGGCTTGTGCTGGAATGCCCCATGTCCATCGGGCTGGGCTTGGAATCGCTCCTGTGCATGTCCTGGGATGAGGCAAAGGTGCTGTAACGCAGACCATGTGGCAGCAGCACCAAGGCATTACATCCCTGTGCACCTTGGCACAGGAATCCAGAGCTCCCTATGTGAGCAAAACCCTCCTCTGAGCCTCTTGGGGGTCCTTCTCCTGTGTTGAGGTCCTGCTTGACCCAACTTGGAGCGAGGGGAGGCTTTGGGACATCACTGGTTGTTGTCCCCTCCACCTCTCCCACTCCTCAGTGCTGGCTGGCCATTGCCACAGCAGCTTCTCGTCCCTGTGCCCTGCCTTGGGCAGACACCACGCAGTGTGCTTGGCTGCACCATCTGCCTCCTCACGCCTGGGTGCGTTTTTGGCCTCCTCGGTGGTTAACAGAAATAGGTTTTAATTAAAAGCTCATTATGGAGATGTCGTGTAGCATTAGTAAATAAAAATAACTTTTACAGCCCTGTCTTGTGGCAGTGAAGGTGTTTGACATCACTTTGTGTTGGAAAAAACCCAGAATAGTGCATATTTGATTCCCTGTTTGCTCCAAATGGGCTTTAAAGCCAGATAAATGGTTGTCTGTGGCACTCCTGTTATCATTCATGCCCAGCAGGTGAAATAAATGTGGTCTGCAGTCTAAGTTACCTCCATTTCAGCTGTAAACCGTTGTGGGTGGTTGGTTTGGACATCTCCTGCTGGGATGAGGAGTAGATACAGCCTATCCATGCCTTGTTTCCTAGGGGTTAGTGGAGCTCAGCCCCAGCTTCTCCCTTCTGCCATCTTCCAGTGAGAAGGTCTCCCATCCTCTCATTGCTTCTGAAAGGCAAGAACATCACACATGGAACCTGAATGTGTCTGCCTGGGGCTCAGTGCCCTTTTCTGCCTGGTCTTTGAGGCTGTTACATCACCATAGCAGGGCCCTGGCTCCCTCCTCACCTCCAGCACACAGCTAACACTGGGCAAAGTGATCTGCTGAGGTGAAAAGCCGTTTTCTGCCTTCCTGAAGGGTAAATTGGTGCAGTAAAATGTTCTATAGATGTTATCCTTTTGTCAAGGTCATGCATTAGCCCAGTGCTGTGCCTCCTGCATTGAGGAGGGGTATGGGGCCACTGGTGTGAAGGGTTTTCTCTGGGCTGAGCTGCTGAGTGCTGCCTTAACGTCCTCCAATCACTTGTAGGTGCCTTTCTTCCCCAGCCTGACCCTGCCTGAAGCTCCAGTGGTGTGTGGTTGTGACAGCAAGGGGATGAGATCTTCACCTGCTGCCCCAGACAGAGCCCAGTTCTGCCCACTGCAGTTTGGGCACCTCCCTGTTGTCTGAGGAGAGCTTCTCACATGAGGAACCGGAATCTTAACTGCCTAAAAAAGCCCTCTTACCCCCCCACTTTCCACCTGGGTGGAAGCCAAGCATCAGCCACTGGGTTTGGGAATCGCTTCCCCCCCTGCTCAACCCTCTCCATGCAGGATGCTTGCACCCTCTGGCACCCAGTTCTTGCACTGCTTGGCCTCCCTCCTTGTCACCCACACCGAGGGGATCCCGTAACCCTTGTGCCTGTTCCGTGGCTGCTTTATTGACTCGGGAGCACTTGTGAAACTTGACAGAAAGGTTGTGCACTGAAATAAATTGTCCCATTGCCTGCTGCTTGGAAATGACTCTTGGTGCAGGTTAATAAATAATGTAAACCCTGTTAAGAGATGCCAAATGCGATGTCTCCCCTGGAGGAAAAGATGATGCCAATAACCCGTGCTGGAATGGCTCCATTCAAACCACTGGCTGCTGAGTTTTCAGTGTTTAGTGCTGTTTACTTAAACCACTCCACTGCTAAATCCTGAGCGCTCCCTTCTCAGTAAAGCACATAAATCCCTGCTCTGCAGGGTGACAGCCTTGCAGCGCTCCCCCTGTTTGTAAAGCAGCTCTCCATGTATCCCTACAGCAACTCACCGGGTAGATCCAGCACCCTGTGCTGTGGTTGTGCTCATGGGAGAGCCCATGGAGGGTGCTGAAGTGATGCCTCCCGCTCCGGGTTCAGGTGGTTGTGGTTTCAGTGGCAGGCTGAGCTCTGTGGCAGCCACTATGGCACAGAACTGAGAGTTCTCTGCTCTGAACCTCTGTGCTTTGTTAGGAGCTGGTAGTGCCTTGCAAAACCATCTTTGTGCTTCAGGTGTCACTTGAGAGCAGGGAATGCTGTTACGGGGTGAGGACAGGATGAGGAGCTGCTACCCCATCCTGGCTGTCCCCCAGCCCCTTGCCACCAGCTCTCCTCATCCCCTCCTGCCTCTGGGTGCTGGTTCTGGGTTTTACAAGCAGGAAAGGTGGCAGTTAATGACACGAAGCCCATCAAGTGAGGGTGAGGAGGGCCGAGGCGCTGCCTGCCCGCAGAGCCATTGGAGCCGAGCTGTCAAAGCCTGCCGCTTGAATGCAGATCGTTATTTTAAGTACCGAGGTGTGGAATGAAATGTATGTTGGAGCAAATGTGGCTGCTGTTCCATTTATATCTTTAATGAAGGTAATTCAGCACACTCGGGGAGGATGTCTGTGCCACGTTATGGTCGGGAGACTTTAGCACTGTGCAGGCAGGAATGTTAAATACATTATTCCTGCCACACACACGTGTGAGGGGATAGAGCAGCGGTGTAAAATCCAGCTCCAGGAGCAATGCCTTCGGCTGCTCCCACCACCAAACTAAAACTGCAAGGGAAAAACACACAAAGCTCTTGCTTTCATGCTCTGAAACTGCTTGTGGTTGGGGAGGAAAGCTTTGGGTTGTGCCTGTTGCTGCAGTGGGGTGAATGGGAATGAGGTTTGGGTACCTGTGTGGAGCTCTGCGGCTGGTGGGGTCCCAGATGGGGGTTGTGTGTGTTCACAACACTGATCCCATAGGATGCAGGGAGGAGATACACGCAGGAGCCTGTCCTGGGACAGGTTTGGTGCAGGGCTGTGTGTGTGTGCAGGCACCCATGGCTCCTCTCAAGCTGAAATGTCTTTGCAGAAGGAGAAGATAAAAAGCCGGGGAGGGTTTATGCAGAGCAGTTTAATTCTAGTCCAGAAGCAGCCCTTTGATGGCAGCTCAGTTTGATGTGCCCGCAGAAACAAAAGAGCTCTTTAAATGTGTCTTGTTCTGTTTTGTCTCCGTGCCCAAATTAACCTCCCTCTTCACATAATAGCCAGGGAAAGATGTTCTGCATCTGAGCCCTCCTGTGCCGAGCTGGTGGTGAGCAGAGGCCAGGAAAATGTGTGGGATTAGGGACTCATAACCACAGCATCCCAAAACTCGCTCCTCGTGCTGCTTTTGACCTCGAGGTGTTGCCAGTGCTTGATGTGAATGGCAGAGAGGCTGTGGCAAGGCTCTGGGGTGGTGGGTTTGTGCTGTTCCAGGTGCACTGTGTGCCCTGGGAAGGGGGACAGTAAAGCTATACTCATTGAATCCAAGCAGCAGCATGGAGCAGGCTGGTCCTGGATCGTTGTACCCATGAGGTGGCAGTGGGGGACAGCAGGAGCATTAATATTGATGCTGTCCAGGTGGCACCAAGATTGAGGTGCAGTGACAAGAGAATGTGCCCAGATCCTTTTGCCATGGGGCTTTAGAGTGATGGCCATATGGCTCAGCCCAGCAATTGTTTCCACCGTGCAGATGGAAGACCAAAGTGGGTTTGGCACATTCGATTCATCTGGTTTATGTCCCTCTTCACCTTGCTGCCTCCCAGCACCTCCTGGTTTTATGAGCAAACTTCAGCAGCAGCAGAGATGCAGGCACAGGACTGCTCGGAGGACACGGTCCAGTTTGCTCTGCTCCTGAGCTGCTTTTGTCACCTCCGTTTCCAGCAGCAGATGCAGTTTGACTCTATGGAAACATGCTCTGAGAGAACCTCTGCTGGCACTGGAGATCGTGAGCACTTCCTGGGGCTATGGGTGCAGGCGTTGAAGCCACAAAGTGGGTTTTTGTTTCTTGCTGGAAAGGGGCTGCTCAGAGCAGTGTGGGGCTCAAAAGGAACCTGAAAGGAGCCCTCAGGTCCCTCTGTTGAGTGCTGGTGGGTTGCCAGAGGAAACAGGGGCTTTGCAGGGGGGTTTCTGGGAGAGGGGAAATCACATCTCAGTTTCCAGATCTGCAGGTGGGATCAGATGGAGGGATGTCAAGGCCGGGTTGGAGCAAGCTGCTCCAGTGGAAGGGGTCCCTGCCTGTTGCAGGGGTTGGAGCTGGAGGAGCTTTAAGGTCCCTTCAACCCAAACCAGGCTTCTTTAGTTCATTAGGATCCTTTCTTATCTGTACTAGATGCCTTCTCCACACTTGGAGACCTTGTGAGGGGAAAGAAGAGTGGGTTTGGGTGATGGAAGTGGTGTTCTAAAATCCATCTTTCTAACTCTGCTTCCTGTTTGCTTTCCTGCAGGTGAAGTGGAAAGGGAAGGACCTGTTTGATCTGGTGTGCAGGACACTCGGGCTCCGGGAAACCTGGTTCTTTGGGCTTCAGTACACTATCAAGGATACGGTGGCTTGGCTCAAAATGGACAAGAAGGTTGGAACCAAATTTCCCTTGGGAAGTTGTGTGGGATGACACGGGAGAATGCACCTTCCTCTTTGAGTGCCTGAGGTTGTGTTCTGTTTGGTACTGAACTGGGTGAAGTGTATTGGAATCTCATCCCTGTGTCAGTCAAACTGGGAAGAGCTGGCAGGGATACCCCAGCTCCTTTGGACCATCTGCATGGAATCCCCTTGAGGCCTTTTGGGATACATCCCTGCTGGGATGCTGGACCTTAGGGTGCCTGTAGTGTGTGTGAAACCTGAAAGTCTCTTATCTGCCCCTGAGTGACAAAACCATTAGGGGAAAAGCGAAGCTGCCTCTTGGCTTCTGCTGCTGAGATGTTCACAGAGTTAGGGAGGAGGGAAAGGAGGTGGAGATAGGGGAGAAAATGCTTCCCACATAGACGAGCCTTCGGGTTGCTGTGCCATGGGTTAGGAGGCAGTGGCTGTGGTTCTGTTTGCACCCAGAGGATGTGATGCTAATACCACTGGTAATTGAGGCCATGAGGGAGGTCTGGGTGTCTCCTGAGTCATGGCAAGGCTTTGAACTAACGTGAATCCAAACTGGATAATGCCAGTGCATCAGAAAGGTCGTGCAGTAAATACAAGAGGAGGCAGTGCAGGGAAGCAAGGAGGAGGTCGGGTGGTGGCGTGGCAGGATACAGCATCGCCCAGCGCTGCTGGGGAGAGCCCACGTGTGCAGAGCACTGGGGATCAGCTTTGGCTGTCTCATTTCACATGCTCTTTGTTTGTGCTGCTGTTGTTTCCTTGCATCCTTAGAAGTGTCAGAAACGTTGGGGTTCTTTTTTTAGCTTGGTTTCTGAACTATTTAGGTTGGTTTCTCTGTTCTAGATGTAAAGTGCTTGACAAAAGTTGTGCTGATCTCAACAGAAGGGAGCTGTGTCTGGGCTCCAAGAGGCAGTGCTGAGGAAGCTGGGAAGAGTAAGTGAATGGCTGTTGTATCCCACAGGTTCTGGATCATGATGTTCCAACAGAGGAGCCCGTCACCTTTCACTTCCTGGCCAAATTTTATCCTGAGAATGCAGAGGAAGAGCTGGTCCAGGAAATCACACAGCACTTGTTCTTCCTGCAGGTACGAGCCCTCTCAGGACACTGTTGTCTAACCCAAGGGTGAAGGAGCCAGCATAAGCAGAAGTGCGAGAAGGTCTGGCACAGGGTGCCCAGAGAAGCTGTGGCTGCCCCATCCCTGGCAGTGCTCAAGGCCAGGTTGGACACAGGGGCTTGGAGCAAGCTGCTCCAGTGGAAGGGGTCCCTGCCTGTGGCAGGGGTTGGAGCTGGATGAGCTTTAAGGTCCCTTCAACCCAAACCAGTCTGTGATTCCATGATTCTAAGGCTTCAGGTTCAGCAACTTGCTCAGCAGTGTGCATCCTTATCATTGTGTTCACAGCTCTCCAAGGGGAGCGTCTTCGACAACAGAACCTTCTTAAAATAGGCCAAAGACGGTTTGTCTGCCTGAAGCAGACCTGCAGACCTCCTAAAGTGGCTCTCAGGAATGATCAGGTGATTGGTAATGGTAGTGTGTGGTAGCTGGGGGGAATGGACCTGTCAGCGTGGGCTGGAGTGGCACACAGCCTTGGAGTCTGCCTGTCCACAAGGTGTGGGGATCGGCCCTGCTGAGGGATGGTGATTGCCTTTGTATATGAGAGCATCCTGCTGTGAAGCAGGGGGATTTCACCCTCCAGAACAGAACGCAGGGAGCCTGTTTCCTGCTCAGGCTGTACAGCAAGGTTCACCTCGCTGCAGAACAGCCTTCAAAGAGCTGGAGCAGGAGGAAATCCCAGAAGCTCTGCTGGAGACTGATGGCAAAGGCAGAGGAGAAGGGGAAAACGACCGGTCCCACCTGCCCCTGTAACTCCTGCCCTTATGTTAAGCATTTGGAAAGTGGTGAACCCATCTTCAGGCTTTTGTCTTTATTCAGAGTACACTATAGACCTTTGTGGTGAGAAACCAGCTCAGGTGATGCTGTTGCAGCAGTGCTGTGTGGCTGGTAACAAAGAACTGTTCTCACAGGAGCTCTCTTTCAGACAAGGTTGATGTCAGAAGCTGTGTCATGAAATCCCAGCATGGTTTGGTTTGGAAGGGACCTTGCAGCTCCTCCAGCTCCAACCCCTGCCACGGGCAGGGACCCCTTCCACTGGAGCAGGTTGCTCCAAGCCCCTGTGTCCAACCTGGCCTTGAGCACTGCCAGGGATGGGGCAGCCACAGCTTCTCTGGGCACCCTGTGCCAGTGCCTTACCTGGCTTTGGATGCTTAGGAAGCACCCCTGTATTCAGTGTGCCCTGGCTGCCTGTCACAGTGAGCTCACCAGCTCGTGGTGCTCCTCACTCTCCCAAAGTTCATCTTTGCTCTGAAGAGCTGAAGGCCTTCCAAATGCAGAGCATTGCTGTTGATTCCCAAGGTGTCTCTCATGCACTGGAGTCCCTCTGGCGCTGTTTTAAAGCGTCTGCTTTGCCATGGGCTTTATCCTTGATGAGGAAAAACGTTGTTGGCATCTCTGAAAGGGAGAATCAGAGGAAAAGCAGTTAAAGCTGTGTGTTACAAATACAGACTGTGGCTTTGCTACTTGGCTTTCCAATGGGGAGAGGAGCCTGGGCTCCTGTAACACGTGTGGGCAATGGAAGCACACATCAGCTTGCCAACTCTCCTGGTTTTATCTTACTGCAGGAGAATATCCTCTGTGCTTGTGTCGTAACCAGCATGTTGCAAATTCAGATTGATGTTGCTGCATCTCTGTGGCAATCCGTTTAAGTCTCTCAGGAAAGGGAATGTTGGGTTTTTTTTCCTGCCTTTATTCAGGAAAATAAAGTGTGCAAACCCCAAAACTATCAAACATGACAAGTTGAATTATTTAATACGCAGAAGCCAGCAAAGGTAAAGCTGGGGCTGCTGGGAGCCGCACGTGTGCTCCTCTGGGAGGCTGTGCAGGGCTTTGCCTGCTCTAAAAGCACTGCCTCTGGGATTGGAGGGAATTAGCCTCCAGCACAGGTGAGCACTGACTCATAATGAGGCCTGAAGATCCCAGAGCAAAACCTTTGTGCGCTCAGAGACTCGCTGCAAACTGTTTGGTTTAGTGCTGTGGATGATGTCCCATCAGCCCATAGCTTCTGCCTTAGGAGGTTTTAGCTCCGTGTTTACACACCAGACCTTCTCCCCACCTCTTGCCTTTAGCAGGGGGCTGCAGGTTCTGTCATTTTCCACAGATAAATTAAGCTCTTCTCACAAACCCATCTGAAAAAGGGGGTTTTTGAAAGGCTGAGCCTTCCCTTCCCAGCCAGCGGATACTTCCCGGCCTGAGCTGTGATGGGTGTTAGGAACAGTGTTAACTGTGTGCTCGACAGCTTGAGATAAAGCAAACTGCACCCATCTGCTGTGCCAGTCATGCTTTGCACTGCTCCACTGAATGCGTGTGGTGTGTCCTTTGCTGTGTGCAGGTGAAGAAGCAGATTTTGGATGAGAAGATCTACTGTCCTCCTGAAGCCTCTGTCCTGCTGGCCTCATACGCTGTCCAAGCCAAGGTAAGCACAGGGGGATGCTCCAGGGGCCTGCTGGCTTTGGGTTGGAAGGGACCTTAAGGCTCATCCAGCTCCAACCCCTGCCACGGGCAGGGACCCCTTCCACTGGAGCAGCTTGCTCCAAGCCCCTGTGTCCAACCTGGCCTTGAACACTGCCAGGGATGGGGCAGCACAGCTGGTGATGGGTTGGTGTTGCTCCTTTACTGCTGTAGCCAGAGGCAAACCAGCCATGGGACAGTTTGGTGCTCCCCCGGAATACTTGTCATCATGAGAACCACTTTATTTTGAGTGCTACAGCTTTGCCACATAATGTTATTGCAGTGTTAAAGGGCTTTTCCTGGCTTTTCCCTTGATCTTAGGTGTTTGGCCTTGCTAGGCAGAGGAAGACATCAGTGGTCACCAGGTTCCCCTCATTCCTCAGCTCTGGAGTCTGTGTTTTGCTGAGGATTTATTTAGGAGAGCATGGATTTCCCGTCTGGAGCAGGCAGCCTTGGACAGCTTGCAGCAGCCCACAGCAGAGGGAGCTGCCCCAGGTTGAGAAGTCAAAACGTTCTAGCAGGAGGGGAAGGAATTTATCCCGTGTATGCACAACGTGTCCTGCTGCTCAGTTAACAACTCCTGCAGCTGATCTCCCGTTGGTGTGTGCAGAGATAATGTCTTTGGGAAGGGAGTGAGTCTGATCACAGCCCAGCTATGGTACTGCTGTAGCTTCCTGTTGCAGGCAGTCCTGACTCTGGATGGGATGCAGGGAGGTGTTTTGGCTCACAGGGCCTCAGGCTGGTGGCTGGGCCCTATCCCTGTCCTTGAGGAGCAGCAGTTTGGGAGGAGCAGGGTGGCTCTGGTCTGTGAGACCCCTTTAGCCAACAGTGCAGGACAGGGGGTTTGGCTCTACTGCCTGAAGAGAGGGCCTGGTCCATGCTGCTTGCAACCAGGGGCCTGTCCTCAGTGTTCCCCCATGGCTTTTTCTGCATCACAGAACCATTGGGGTTGGAAGGAACCTCTGGAGATCATCCAGGTCCAACCCCTTGCCAAGGCAGGGCCACCCAGAGCAGGTCACACATAGAATCCCATAGGTTCTGGGGTCCTGTGATGGTGGGTTTGGGATGTCTCCAGAGAGGGAGATGCCACAACCCCTCTGCAGCCTGTGCCAGTGCTCTGCCACCCTCAACTGAAAGTTGCTCTTGCTCATGTTGAGGAGAAACTTCTTGTGCTTTAGTTTATGGCCATTGCTCCTCGTCCTGTTGCTGTCATTGCCATATAATGGGCTCACAACCCATCAGTTGTGTGCAGGCTGCAGCCCTGGGTGATGTGCACTGATATTCTTCAGTGATGAATGTTTGAATTTACTAGGAAAAGGTTTTCTCCTTGTTGGCAGAATATTGATGGAGCCGTGTGTTGTTGGAGAGACCCATCAGGGGGAGGACAGGTTGCTTTTCCAAACACTGATGTTTGAGTCCAGCATTCATCACTTATTAGAGTGCCTGAGCACACACTTGCCTTTTCTCCTGTTGACCTGCTGAGCTGAGGATACGGAGGGGATGACATTCCCTGTTGCAGGAATGAATTGGGTAGATATCTAATGCTGTTAACTCTTGGCTGTGACAGCTTCTGCTTGTGTGGCTGTGAAGAGGCTCTGAAGTGGTTCAGGGCTGTCATACCAGCCCCTTTCCCTTCTCCCAGCTCAGCTGCTGCCCTTGGGGCTCAGGAGCACACTCGATGTGCTCAACACTTGGCTGCAGTCAGAGCAGTTCTTTTAACCTTGATTGTGCACAGAGATTGTGATGCCCTTTCTGTTCTTTGCTAATGTGCTTTCATGTCAGCATCAGATAGCACTTTTCCTTGCTGCTCCTCCAGGCTAGCCAGGCTCCAAGCATGGTTTCCCCTCCTGCTGTTCCTTTTTCAGGCAAGGAGGAAGCTGAAAGCGCATCTTCAGCGTGGAACTGTGGAGAAAGATGTTGCAGGTCATCTCCTTTCCAGTTCAATAGGATAAATGTGTCCTTCCTGGTCAAGAGAGTGGTCACTGAGCATAGTAATTTCACTAACAACCTGCTGATCTGCATTATTAGGGCCATAACAGCCTGACATAGAGGTGTGTGTGCATCTGATAACAGCCATTTGACTGACAGCCAGCTTGGCTTGGGCTGTTGCTGCACTCCTAACTGCAATAACAAAGGGAGCACGGGGGTCATTACAATAAGCCCTTATTTATTTCAGTGTTAGGGGGCTCATTTGGGGAATTACTGTGTGTTTCCCTCTAGCCCTGGTTCAAACCAGCCATGCTGCTTTCAGGTGGTGGACGTGGTTCAGGTTTTAAATAGCCTGGGATCTACTGAGACATGCACCCAGCAGAACATGGGGATGTCCAGGGGGTTCTTCTATTTCTTGCCTCTTAAATGCAGAACCCTGCTTGCTGCAGCCCCCTCAGCACTTCACATCCTGTAGCACTGTAAAGGGCTCCTCTTTGCTTGCATTTTAGTTCATTTTCCTCCCAAACAAGCAATACTTGGTGTCAATAGCTTGAAGATGAGCATGCCAGTGTTTATCCAGGACAATATGCCAAGGGTATGAATGAGGTAAAGGCATTTTCCATGGGTATCCATGAATATTAATCATAGTTCCATTAACAGGAGCTGCAATTCCAGGACAGTTTTGAAGTACTGATTTAACTGAAAAGGTCTTTAGAAGTATGTTTGCCAAATCATTTCAGCCAACATATACTGCAATACTTAAAGCTGTTTGTTGGTCTTTGACTTGTGGATAATCAATGTTCTCATCCAGGCTCCTTCTCAGTACAAATACTCCTTTGGGACACAGCAGTGTTTTTCACCACGTGCAAATCACATAATCCATGCTTAGTCTTGGATCTCCCCAGTAGATCACAACCCAATATAATCATGTTAATCCTCTTTGCTGTTCTTTTCATCACCTACAAGTGATTTATTTCCTGCCTCTCCAAGGGTATTGGAGTTGTTTTGTTTGCCAGCACCACGTTGTTGTGGCTCTTGCCTTTTGATGTGGGTTCAAGGGATGTGTACCTGCAGCCTGCTGGTCTCTGAGGACCCCCAATCATCTGGAGACCTTGGAAAACAGCTGAAATCCATGGTGGTTTTGTTCTGTTACTTGAAGTCTGAGTCAGTGTTGATTGTTGCATGCTTCCTTTGCATCTGCATTGGCTCCAGATCAACATCTGCCTCTTTAATCCCTGCTTCTCATCTCTGAAGCAAGGATATCTCTGGAGATGTTTGATGCTGAGCTCTGGTTTTAGTGTACAACGTGCTGGTTCTGGTGTTAAGAGGAGGCTGGGATGGAGCTGCCTGACCTAGGACACGACCACCACGTGTGTCTTGGTCTTGGTTTGAAAGACTGTCACCATTTGGTACTTCTGGAGCTGAGGTTCTTCGTTAAAGCAGTGACTTGAGCACACATCACCGTGCCTTGTGTAACTGGGGAGCGACACTGCAGAACCCTGCTTGCAGGTGACTGGAAATCACAGTTCCATGGATGTGCCTCACATCCACCGCCCTCTTCTCTTGAACTCGCTGGCTTATTCGAGGTGCTGGTTTCTGGTGGCTTCCTGCTCTTTGAGGCTGTCCAGGAGGTAAATCCATTCTCACATGCACAGCAGGAGCGCTTGGCTGTTCACTCTGTTTGTAGCACCTTTGTTTCTCAGTCGCTTCATATGCTCAGAGAGATGCAGATCTAAACAAACAGCACTAATTCCTGTCTGCCCTTAATAAACCCCAATTGGGGTCCATGCCCCAGTCGAGCAACAGACCCTCTGGCAGAAAATTTGGTACCTTAAAGAAGTCTCTTCAAGTCCTGTGTGTTCTGTCTTCCCTGAGGGTGGTGAGCAGCAGCAGAGGAACTGCCTCACCTCAACCACTGGCATCAAACAGTCTTTGGGGACAGGTCTTGGTCTCTATCTTGACTCCCTGTCTCTATACCAGGATGACAGCAAGGACCCCTCTCCTATGGAGTCTTTCTGTGTGTTGAAGGAAGTGTTTCCTGGGCATGGTAACCAGGGTGGAATAGAATTGTCCTGTTGGAAGGGCCTTACAGCAGTCATCTGGTCCAAATGGAGGATGTAGGATGGATGGTGGACACAGGCTTGGTAGAGTCCATAGACATCCAGTGCTGCTCAGGGCTTTACTTCAGTGTTAGTCTGTTCCTGTCCTGGAAGATGCATGTTTTGGGAAGGAAGGACTTTGCAATGATGGCTTTATGGTTAGATTCAATGATCCTAAACAATTCTGTGATTCTATGATGGTGGACCCTGGCTGGAGGGTGGACATCAGCCGATGGTGGGCAGTTTGTTGTGCTTCCACCTCTGCTGCATGAGGAGGATGTCGGTTCCTATCAGCAATCAAATAACAAAGCGAATCTGGTTATTAAACCCACCGAGCAGCCTCTGCTCTCAGCTGCAGGAGGTTGTGAGGTGCAGGGTGGAAGTGCTGTTTGCTGCCTGCCCACAGGGTGGATGTGTGGGGTGAAGCGTTCTCCTTGCCCATGGTGTTAAGGTGGGGTGAGCACAAGGTCTGTGCTTCTTTGCAGTACGGCGATTACGATCCCAACGTGCACAAGAGAGGCTTCCTGGCACAAGAGGAGCTGCTCCCAAAGCGGGTAAGGAGAGGAGTGGTGGCTTTCCAAGGCCTCTGCACAGAGGGTCTGTGTGGGGCTGCCTTGGGCTCGGGTGTTGCTGGCTCAGTGTGACCCGGTCTCTGTCTCCCCACGTGTCTCAGGTGATAAACCTGTACCAGATGACTCCAGAGATGTGGGAGGAGAGGATAACAGCGTGGTACGCAGAGCACCGGGGCAGAGCGAGGTGAGTGTGTGCTGCAGTGCTGCCTGAGGGCCAGTCCCATCAGGACCACAGGGTTTGGGGAGCTTGGGCAGGTGATGGATGAGCTCTGCTGACAGCAAGGTTAATCCCAGCACACCTCTGTAGCACACTCACAAAGGGCAAAGGGCTTGCTTTGGTTGCTGTCCTGCTCAGTGACAGGGTCCTGGAGAGGACCTGATGCTGTGCAGGACCACCTGCAGAGGGCAGGGGGGTGAGCAGCCCTGCCTGCCTGGGGTCAGGGTGATTTGGGAGCCAGGAAAAGAAGTGGGGATGCGTTCTGATGAAGTGTTATTGCTGCCTCGGGTGGAAAAGCCTGGAGTCAGATGGATCCTCCCAGCCAAGGACTTCCTAATTATGCCCAAGGGATTGGGAGACAGACAAAGCAAAGCTTGAAGTGCTGCATCTCTCAAGGCCTTGGCAGCCATTAAGATGCTGGCAAGCTGCAGAGTGGGATTTGCTGTTGGACTTTATTGATCCTGCCAGCAAAGACAGGATTGACCTGTGCGATAGAGACAGCCCAGGTTTTAAAGCTTGTGAGTGCTTAGGCTTAGAAGGAGCAGTCGTGCCTCTCTCCCTGATCCTGCCAAACACTGTAACGCTGACCTTTCTTTGCCTGACAGAGATGAAGCTGAAATGGAGTATTTGAAGATAGCTCAGGACTTGGAGATGTATGGAGTGAACTATTTTGCTATTAGGGTGAGTGCAGGCTGTGGGACGTGTCTGCTTGCTGGTGTAGCTCTTGTGTTCATCTTTTGTGTTGCTGTGGGATTTGGAGCTTTGGAGAGCCAGCAGACCTGGGAGATGCTGTTGTAGTGGTGCTACATGGCTGGTGGTGAAGAGCTGCTCCCACAAGAGCTCTCCTTTCAGACAAGATCAGTGTCAGAAGCTGTGTCATGGAATCCCAGCCTGGTTTGGGTTGGAAGGGACCTTAAAGTTCCAGTCCAGTTCCAACCCCTACCACGGACAGGGACCCCTTCCACTGGAGCAGCTTGCTCCAAGCCCCTGTGTCCAACCTGGCCTTGAGCACTGCCAGGGATGGGGCAGCCACAGCTTCTCTGGGCACCCTGTGCCAGCGCCTCAGCACCCTCACAGGGAAGAGCTTCTGCCTAAGAGCTCAGCTCAGTCTCCCCTCGGGCAGGTTCAAGCCATTCCCCTTGGCCTGTCCCTACAGGCCCTTGTCCCAAGCCCCTCTCCAGGTTTCCTGCAGCCCCTTTAGGTGTGGGAAGACTGTTACAAGGTCTTCCTGGAGCCTTTTTCCAGGCCCTTCTGATGCTTCCAGAAGCTCTTCAGATGCGCAGTGCTGGTGGGTCGCTGCTCAGGGCTGGGTGATGAAGCTAGCAGTGGTTCATGTTGACCCTCCGAGTGGAATTAAAGGGGTTTCTGCTTTTTTCTTTCCTCCTGTAGAACAAAAAGGGCACCGAGCTGCTCCTTGGAGTGGATGCCTTGGGTCTTCACATTTATGACCCAGACAACAGGTTGACCCCTAAAATCTCCTTCCCATGGAATGAGATCCGCAATATCTCATACAGCGATAAAGAGGTAACACCAGAGCTCAGGAGCTGAGCTCTCTGCTTTACATATTCCAGTGTACCCACTGTGTATTCCAGTGTCTACATACTGTATTATGAAATAGCGAGGTGTTTTCCTGGTGAGAAGAGCTCTTGTCATCTCATTACATCACTGGGGTTTTCAGGCTGCCAGGCTTGGCATGACAGCTGGAATCTTTTTAGGAAGTTGGGTAATTTAAGCCTGCTTTTGGGATAGATACTTAGTAAATCCAGAGCATAAATATGAGTCTTCTGAGTCGTTGGCCACCAAACCCAGTTGGGAACAGCAATGGACTTGGCAATGGAGGGGAGCTGATGGGCTCGGTTTTCAGTCTGAGACAGCAGCGCAAGGGAAGCAGCTGCCTCGTGGCGAGGAAGAAAATGAGTTTCTTAATTAAAAATGGTTTTCTAAGCTAATGCTGATATTGATCAGGGTAGAAGCTGAGGGTTCCTCATCTTTATTGCACATCTTGTGCGGGTCTCTGTGCAGCAAGGCCGGGCTGGAGTTCTTGTCTAAGAATTGCCTCAGGAGCCTCCCTAACCTGCTCCTGACACAAGGCTGTAACAGAGCTCTGTCCTGGGAGAAGGGACTCTTACCTTCCATGAGGTCATGATCTGGGTAATGAAGTGACCACGAGCAGAGCTGGCGTGGTAGTAAACAGGCTCAACAGCTGGCTCTGACAGCTCCATCAGCCACAGGGGCCTTTGATCCAGCCCAAGCAAGACCTGCTCTTTACCTGGAGCTGCGCTTCCTCTCCTGGCTGGTGCTTACCAGGCCCGGTAGGGCTGTGCTGGAGCCTCAGTCCAGGGACATGCACTCACATCTACGTGTGTGCAAGTCTAAAGGTTGGCTCTTAAACAGCTCTGCCCAGCCCTGGACAGGCAGTGCCATGGCTTGATGAATAGGCCAGCTTGAATGGACACAGACTGCTCGAGTGCTGTCTCCTCAGCTGGGTGGTTTTGCAGTGTGTGACCCAGTGATGGAATATAAGCATGCTGCTAAGGAATGCTGTGCTGTGAGCACTCCAGCTCTTCAAGTGCCCTTTAGCTAGTGCAGTTACCTGTCTATCCAGGGGCTGGGTTGCTGGAGTCTGGTCGTGCCACCTGTGTCCTGCTCTTTGGAGAGGGTAAACCCAGGCCATGGCTGGAGCTGTTTGGTTTGTACCTAGAGCATGAATACAGAATCATTGGATCATAGAATAGTTCAGGTTGGAAAGGACCTTAAGATCATCAAGTTCCAACCCCCCTGCCATGGGCAGGGACACCTCACTCTAAACCATATTACCCAAGGCCTCGTCCAACCTAGCCTTGAACACTGCCAGGGGTGAAGCATTCACAACCTCCCTGGGCAACCCATTCCAGTGCCTCACCACCCTAACAGGAAAGAATTTCCTCCTTATATCCCATCTAAACTTCCCCTGTTTAAGTTTTAACCCATTACCCCTTGTCCTGTCGCTACAGTCCCTAATGAAGAGTCCAATACAGAGAGAGGTGGTATTGGAGTTCAGAGTGAACAGGCTTGTGACAGGGCTGACTGCCAGAAACCAAAACCCTCCAGGCAGCCCTTGTGAGTGGAGATGTCACTGGGAAGGGCAGCAGCTCCTGTTGCTGTGTTCCTCATGCAACCTCCTGCCCACCATCAGGCACCTGAGCTGGTTGTTCCTCCCTCCACAAGCATCAGGAGTTCCTGCTGTAGGTTCTCTGTTCTCTGGAGCAGCAGGAGGGCATCATCCTGCCTCCGGAAGTGCTGGGCTGTCTCTGCCCTCTGCAAGGTGCTGTGTTGCAGTCTGTGGGTGAACAGCACTCTCATTGCTTCTGTGGCCTCACGTTTGTCTGAGCAGAGGGACAGTTGTCTCCTTGCTTTTGATACTGGTTCTTTTGCTTGGCTAAAAGCCACAGGGACAGCTCTCAGCCTTGTTTGTCTGACACTGCTGACCTCCTCCGAGCCAAAGCTTTCAGTAAGACGTTTATAGCTGTGTCTTTATTAAATGCACTGCTCTCTGATAACTCTCTCCCTCTTTATTTTTCCCTTTTCAGTTTACCATTAAGCCATTGGACAAAAAGATTGATGTTTTTAAATTCAATTCATCAAAGCTGCGTGTGAATAAGCTGGTAAGTCTCCAGACAGAGTCATTTTTATGGGCTGCAGCAGTAGTTTCTGCAGGCAGTACGAGGCAGCGTTCTTTTAGGGCTTTCCTTGGAGCAGGCAGAGGCAGTGTGCTGGCCTGCCGGGGCTCTAGGTGTCATCTGGTAGCAGTTACTACTGAGAGGCTCGAGAATAGGAAGGGGCAGCTCAAGTCAAGCTCATTCACAGAACATCTTCCCCCCTCTCCTGTTTTTTGTGTTCCCTTGCTGAGCCCTTGGGTTGACCTGCACAGTGGAAGCACTCAGTGAGCAAAACCTTCTTGTCACCCCATCCTGTGGAGCCAGGCTGAGAGAGCTGGGCTGGGGCAGCCTGGAGAAGAGAAGGCTCCTGAAGGGGAGACCTTAGAGCAGCTCCAGTGCCTAAAGGGGCTGCAGGGAACCTGGAGAGGGGCTTGGGACAAGGGCCTGTAGGGACAGGGCAAGGGGAATGGCTTGAACCTGCCCGAAGGGAGACTGAGCTGAGCTCTTAGGCAGAAGCTCTTCCCTGTGAGGGTGCTGAGGCGCTGGCACAGGGTGCCCAGAGAAGCTGTGGCTGCCCCATCCCTGGCAGTGCTCAAGGCCAGGTTGGACACAGGGGCTTGGAGCAAGCTGCTCCAGTGGAAGGGGTCCCTGCCTGCGGTAGGGGGTTGAGTTTTAAGGTCCCTTCCAACCCAAACCAGGCTGGGATTCTATGGTCTTTTTTTCCAGACCCCCTTTCTTCTGCAGACCTTTCCCATTCTGTCCTATGATGTAGATCTCCCTGTTCTGGGACCACTGCCAATCACAGTCCTGGCTTTCGCTAGGCTGGTCCCCTCTGAGGACACTGTCCTTGTACAAGGATGGTGGGGGCTGTGTTGAGCATCCGTGTTAGAGACCAGCTTTAGCCAGTGTTGTACATTTGGTATCCAGAGGAGCTTTGATCCAGGTCCTGTAGTAGCTGTGCATCGTTGTTATGTTGCATGAGGGTCCTTTGCTGTCCTGGTTGGAGCCTGTCCTGTACTTCCCATGCCTTAGGAAGTGGGGCTTCCTGACATAACCACATCCACTGCACCACGTTCATAGAGCTGAAGCTCCCGTGACTCCAGAGAAGCCATTTATGACCTGTGAAACAGCAGATGAGCATGTGAATCAGTGCTTTAGAAATGAATCCCAGTTTAGAACCTGCTGTTCTTGCTGAGAAGAGCTTTCACTCTCTTGTGTACCCATCTCTTTGCTAACCCTCCTCTAGTATTGCCACTTCCCATGTCCTCCTTGAGTACCAGAGGAACCCATGGTGGTCCTCGAACCTTTCAGCAAAGGTATCTGGGGATATTCAAGGAGGTTTTTTATAAACCTTCTGTTTGTCCAGGATGGAAAAGGTTTTTCTTGCTCTTTTTTTGTTTCCTTTTTTTAATCTCAATGCTTGAAACATGCACTTGAGAGAAGGCACAAGTTGATCTTGAGACTAAAGAAAGGGGGGCAGTGAGGACCAGGGAGCTAGGGTAGGGTTTGGGATAGTGGGTGGAGGTCCTTAAAGCACCAGACCCAAGCATCTGTAGTGGCTGTGTGTGTCAGGAATACAAACCACCTCACGGTCGTCATGTGTACAGCTCTTTCTCTCCACTCTTCACCCTTGACTGGACTAGATTCTTCAGCTGTGCATTGGAAACCACGACCTCTTCATGAGGAGGAGGAAGGCAGACTCGTTGGAGGTCCAGCAGATGAAAGCACAGGCCAGGGAGGAGAAAGCCAGGAAACAGGTGAGAGACATCTCCTATAACCAAACTATGGGCTGAAATCAGAGATGCAAATGAACTCGGGAGGGAGCAGTCTCCAGAATGGCATCAAGCACAAGGAGCAGCTTTGAGGGAAGGGCCTGTGAACATCTTGTTAATAGACTGCTCCCAGTTCGCCAGCCATGCCCAGCTTGGCTCTGCAGGCTGATGGCAGCCTGAATCCACCCCCTGTACTGGAGCACAAAACTGGGATGATGGGAAGGAAGAGCTGATCCAGGTGTCCTGCAAGCGTGTGCACATCTTCCCCTCCTTGCTTTCCCCCTGGGCTCCATGCCTGCATGGTGTGAGGGGGTATCTGCTTGTAGGAAAGCAGTGGCTATGAGGGGGAGCTGTGCTTTGCTGAGGTTCTTTGCCTCCTTGTCTAATTGCCTGCTGATGGAATGCACGCCAGGGCTGGGGCATGCAGCTTGCATGCTAATCTGCTGCTGGCCCCCTTTATCTGCCGCAGGTCAGCCCAGGCGGTGAGAACGTCTCTTTGGAGGCACCAGCGTGGAGGCAATGAACATACATCAGCAAATTGGATTGTCTGAATCATTGTTTTCTGCTCGTAGACCTTTTCTACTCCCTGAAACCTGCACAGCTAATCTGAGTGCTGGTGCTTGGAATATAAATGGCCCTTTTGCAATAAAAACACTATATTGCAGCAGGAGAAACCAGAGCAGCCACTTGTACCCAGGAGGGTCTGATGCTCAAGGGACTCTTAAGTTAATGGGTTTGAGCATGGCTGCAGAGACGGCTGCATGGTGCTGAGCTTGGCCTTGAGGTGCTGAGCTCACCTGGAGATGTGGCGTGGCTTGTCTCACAGGCACCTCCTGAAGCAGTTCTCCTTCCTGCAGCTTATGGGGCAGGAGAGGATGGGACATGAGTCACGCTGAGCAGAACTAGGCCAGCTCCTCTGGGGATGGGGGTTCTTGCTTCCTCTGGTCAGTAAGAACGTGGTGCCATGGAGCAAAAGCTCTCTGTGGAAGGGGCATTGAGGTGTCCAAGTGCTGGTGGCTACAGGGGCAGGTTTATGTGTTGGAATAACACGAGCAGGACCTGGGATCTGTGCTTAGCTGGGCTGCTGGGAGAGGTGAGGGTGCTGAGGGCCAGCAGGAGATGGGCACCTCACATGGGCTCTCCAACCCAGAGCACTTGTGCCCTGTGGGAGAGGTTAGGCTCCTGCTCGGGTTGACTGCTCTCCTATAGCCACTGTGCTGCTGCCTGCTCTCCTCCATCCCCAGCACCCACGGTTAGGGACTGGTTCTGGATCGTCCTTTTGTATTGGGAATTCTTGTTAATGGAGGTCCTGAGCGGGATGCAGATCATAATGATTATTAATAGGGGGAACCTTTAAGAGAAGGCAGCAGAGCTGTTTGAGCAGTGGGAGTCTCACTCTCAGGATACAGTTGGTGTCCAAGGAGCAGAGATGTGTTTTGTCACACTTATTTCCCTTATTAAAGCCAGCGGGTGGGCTGTGCCAAGCTGTGAGTCCTGCCTGCAGTGGGGATGCTGATAACACACCCAGTCTGTCCTGCTGGAGGGATTAAACGGGGTGTGCTTATCAGCCCAGTGGCTCCCTTTGGGCTGTTGGTTAGTGGAGAGGCAGTGCTTGGGGGCATTCTGTCTGCACAGTGCTCTCAGCATCCTCTGGGAAGAGGTGGTGGATTCTGGTGGGATGTCTCAGCATAGCTTGGGTGTTCCCCTCTGGGGGAAGCGTTGCTGTTTCCTGCAGATGGAGCTGGGGGAGAGAGCTCCACTGTTCAGCTCTGGGCTCCTCACTCCAAGAGAGACATTGAGGGGCTGGAGCGGGGCCAGAGAAGGGCACTGGGGCTGGTGCAGGGCCTGGAGCCCAAGTGTGATGGGGAAGGGCTGAGGGACCTGGGGGGTTCAGTCTGGAGAAGAGAAGGCTCAGGGGGGACCTGATGGCTGCCTCCAACTGCCTGACAGGAGGATGGAGCCAGGAGGGGCTGGGCTCTGCTCCCAAGGAACAAGGGATGGGACAAGAGGAACCGGCCTCCAGCTGCACCAGGGCAGGTTTAGATGGAGCTGAGGAACAATTCCTGCCCCAGAGGGTGCTCAGGCATTGGAACAGGCTGCCCAGGGCAGGGCTGCAGGCACCGGCCCTGCAAGTGTTCACACCCCGTGGAGACGAGGCCTCAGTGCCATGGGGCAGTGGTGGCCTTGGCAGTGCTGGGGTAAGGGTTGGACTGGATGAGCTTAAAGGGCTTTTCCAACCTGGTTGGTTCTGTGATTCCATGATCTAGGAGCTGGCAGAGGTGGTTGCACGCTTTGTGCTCTCCCCTAGGAGTGAGTGGAGGTGACGTTTCAGGCCCTCTGGGTTGGGTGCCTGATCAAAAGCAGGAGCTCTCTACATCCTCCAGACTCCTGCCTCGCTGTGTGTCTGTACTTGGTGTTTGGAAGATGCCCTCAGCCTGCCCTTAAGCCCAGCCTTGCTGTGTGGTCAATGTGCTGTAAGGAGCTCTGTGGGTAGCTGGAGCTCTTGGGACCTTCCTTGTGTGAGCCTGCCCTGTGAGGCAGTGTGGGGGGAGCTGTTTGGGATGCAGTCACCTGCTTGTGTGGCTGTGCTGTAGGGAACAGCCTGATCAGAGGATAGGGCTTGTCTCGGGAATGGCCCTTTCCAAGGGAGCTGAATGCATCAGATCACCCCCATGTAGTGAAGCTCCTGTTGTTGATAAGCAGAGAGGAGGCAGCAGTGCAGTCCTGTGCTCTAACCACACACAGTGACCGTTCCTCATCCTGTGAAAAGCCTTTCTAATGTGTATTGTTTCTCCTTGCTTTCCCCAATCCCTCTGTCCTAGATGGAACGGCAACGCCTGGCCCGAGAGAAGCAAATGAGAGAAGAGGCTGAAAGGAAAAGGGATGAGCTGGAGAGACGGTTGATGCAGTTAAAGGAAGAGGCAACAATGGCCAATGAGGCTCTGGTAGGTTGTTTCCTGAGGCACTGCAGCTTTTCCTCACTCTTCCCACTGCCAAAGTGTTCCAGGAGGCACATTGTGACTGTCCTGTGGCTGTGCAGATGAGGCCCTCAATGCCACGGGTTAGTGGTGGCCTTGGCAGTGCTGGGGTTGGACTGGATGAGCGTAAAGGGCTTTTCCCACCTGGTTGATGCTGTGATTCTGTTCTCAAAGTGCTGCTGGTGGATGGTGATCAGGAGGGAGGATGGAGGGACACAAAGGAGGATGGTTTGGAACAGAGCATGGGCACATCCAGGTCTTGGCTGCAGAAGCTGCAGGCTTGCATGGAAGGGAGGGAGGAACTCTATGGGCAGCCGTGTGGAGCGAGCAGCTCAGGGCTCTGCTCCGGAGGCTGTGAGCACATCAGGGGGGACATGCAGTGTGCCTGATGGCTCCGTGTGCCTTGTTCCTCAGATGAGGTCTGAAGAGACGGCAGACCTGCTGGCTGAGAAGGCGCAGATCACGGAGGAGGAGGCCAAGCTCCTGGCTCAGAAGGCAGCTGAGGCTGAGCAGGAGATGCAGCGGATCAAAGCCACGGCCATCCGGACGGAGGAGGAGAAGCGGCTGATGGAGCAGAAGGTGCTGGAGGCAGAGATGTTGGCACTGAAAATGGCCGAGGAGTCGGAGAGGAGGTCAGAGGGTCCAACCTTGCAGCTGCCTCTGCTTTGCTTTCCAACCCCCTGTGACTTGGCTGAAAGAGTGGCTCATGCCTTGAGTTCATCCATCCAAGGGTGTGCAGTGGGCCCTTGGACTCCTGTGTGTGTACAGCAGCGCATGGCCCCAGGGCTGGCTGCTTTCTCCATCCATCTCTCTGTGTCTTGCTGTTTGCCACAGCTGGGCTGTGTCCCGGTAGGAAACAGTCCTGGTAGAGCAGTGGTGGCCCTGAGCTTCCCCTGGGTTAGAGCTGGAGACCTTTCTCCAAAGCCTTCTTTTGGGAGGGATACTGTGATCGGAGCAAAGAGAGGGGCTGTCAGCAGGGGAGAAGGTCCCAAGGCCCTTGGCACTCTGCCTCCTGTGCCTCTTGTGCCCTGACAGCAGCAGCTCTACATTGGGGTGATTTCTGCAAACACCCACTGCATTCCTCAAAGTATGTGACATTAATAACACTTGTGGTTGGTTTTTCCTCTGGATAGTAGATGTACATTCCCTATTCCCTCTTTATTCCGGTTTACCTCTCAGTTTCTAGTTCTTCTTCCTGGTAGTGAGCTCTCTGTTTCAGGTTAGCCTTGACCTAACCCTTAGCTCCTGGAGTCCTTGCTTCTTGTTAAACCTGGTGTTTCCATCCTCTTGATACCAGAGCCCAGGTCCCGTGGTGCATTTGGTAGTGAGCAAGTAAAAGATCATTCTTGTTTCCTTCCAGCTGATTACCCCTTTCCATGTGAGAGCTTGTTTGGCATCAGTCCTTCTGCTTGGATGAGCACTGCCTGTGTCCATCTCATCTTGCCTTGGTCTCTGTCTTACAAAGTCTACACTTGGAATTCAGTCCAGCAGAGAAAGCACCCTTCCTCCTTTGGCTTTCTCCTTGGGGGGAAGTCCTTGAGCCTTGAGGGTAAATACCAGTCCTAGAATAGTTGGGCTCTGCTGGTAGGCAAATCTTGGGTCCTGCTTCCTTTCTGAATGCAACAGGTAATTGTTAATGGAGGGTGACTTGTCAGAGAGCTGCCTCTCCTGCTCTAGATCTGAGCTTGACCTTTGAAGTTCTCCCTGTCCTGGTGCCTTAGCCTGCTTCTCCAGCCCTTGGCCCATGGCAGAGCTGCCCCGTTGTGGCTCGGAGTTCTGTGCTTATTGAAACATCCCACGTGTCAGAGGTTCTGCCATTTCCCTTGCTTCAATGATGTCTTAGTTTAGGTCTTGTTGTGGGTCAAATCTAAACTTACTGCACACCTGCACTGTGGTGCTGCTCCTCCAGCTTCTCGTTCCTCTCAACTTCCATCTGATAGTTGCCTTTTGCTGTATGTCTGTAGGGCGAAGGAGGCTGATCAGCTGAAGCAGGATCTTCAGGAGGCCCGTGAGTCTGAGAGGAGAGCAAAGCAGAAGCTGTTGGAGATCACCAGCAAGTCGTCATACACGGTAAGAGCAAGCTGGATTGTAATCCCCAGCCCCTAAATGTGCCCTCCTCTGTAGCCTGGAGGAGTCTCCTATCTCCATCCCATCAGTGGAGGGGTACAAGCTGTCCCGTTGCATTGCTGTCTAGAAACCCTTTGCAGTGCTTGCTGCCTTCATCCAGACACCCCATCCATTACTTTGCTCTCTGTTGTTTTCTTTCTCCCCCACCTGCCCTGCCTCATGCTGCAAGAGCAAAGCAGCTGCTGGAGAAATTAAAGGCAGCAAGTTTAGAATCCATTTAACACCCAGGTCAGGGCCATGATTTGCTAGCACGTGTGGAGCAACCAGCCTTTAAAGTAGGGTTAAATACTGAACAGAGGTGTCCTGATCCTTGTTAGGTGGGATAACCATTGTTCAGAAGCTGTAAATTCATCCTTTAGCATAAAGTGATCACTGTGCCCCTGTGTGCTGGAATTAAAACCCACTTCCTTGAAGGGAGATGATTCCATGATTGCCCATTAAGAGGATTTCACACCTTCCCCTGCAGCATCTGGCCCTGGTTGCTGAAACCAGACTAAATGACCATTGCTCTGCTCTGTCTGGCAGTTCCTTTCCTCCACTTCTCTAATACTGTACCTGCAGGCTCCTTCCCATCCTCTGGGAACTTCTGAAGAGTGGATTGAAGAGGATGGAGGTGAAGGAACCTTCTGAAGTTCCCTGTCTCAAAGCTTTTCACAGTTGCAGAGATGGGAACCAGGCAGGTGCTCTGAGCTCTGGGACACCTCCAGGGCTTGCTAAAGCTTAGCTTGGAGTGCTCCTTATTTTACAGGTGTCTAGGGTTCTGGGATCCTAGTTCTGGAGCCCTCAGCACAAGAGGGATGTGGTGCTGTTTGTGCCCATATCCAGGTGACAACTCCTTGCTGGGCTCTTGCATCCCCTGTTGTGCCTGCCTTGCTTCCCCTGTCCCCTGTGGCCTCTCCCATCCTTCTGCTACATGAGCCAGAATAAGATGCTCACTTCAAAGCTGGTGGCCTGAGGGATGAAGCAGTTTGAAAGCTGCTGTTGGGAGGCTCATGTCCCTCAGGTGGATGGCAGCTCTGCCCAGCGGTGCAGGATTCCAGCTCCTCTCTTCCATAATGAGAGTATAACACTGAGCTTGTTCTTTTCCATGGTACCAGGCCTTGTGCTGTGTTGTCCCCTGGCACTGAGAGCTAGGCAGGACTTTCCTCTGGAGGAGCAAGAGCAAGGGAGGAGGCAGGGAGTGGATGGATGTAGAATCATTAGGTTGGAAAACACCCTTTAGATGATTGAGTCCAGCCATTAACCTAGCTGTATGTTGCAGAAAAGGCAAGAAACATATATATATAAAACTATATATATATCTTTTAACTTTCCATTATCTAATGCTGGTCCCTTAAAGCTTGTTTCAGTGTCTGTTTAGTCCTTGAAGCCCAGGCTGCTTCTGTGGTGTGACTGGTAGGTGATGCATGAGAAATGAGACGTGAATCTGAGTCTCAGATCGTCAGGGATAGGAGAGCAGTTCATTCCTTACTCACTTGGCAGCAGCTCTTCTCTTCCCTCATTGCCCTTCAGGTACCACTCAGGGCAAGACTAAAGGCACTCATCTCTTCTCTGATCTGCTGGAAGCAGTAAGTGTCTGTCTTGGGCTTGCTCAAATACTTGAGCAGTGAAGGAAAGGCAGTGGCAGCGCAAGGAGCTCTTCCTGCAGGGGAACCCTCATGACATGACTGTGCTTCCTCTTCCTCTCCTGCTCTGTACTCCAGAGGGATGTCCACTGTCACCTGTATTCATGGCAGGCAATTGCTTTAATGCAGAAAGAGGGTTATGCAGTTTGTTCCAGGTGAGGAGACACAGAAGGAAAAGGTCTGTGTCCCCTTTGTCACCCTGCATCCCTGGATTAAAAATCTGGGTGCCAGCTGTGCCACCTGCCCAGGATCACTGCAATGGCAGGGAAATGTTTGCCCCAGACATTAAGTCACATCTTTGAAAGCCTTCAGCTTGCTCTTTGCTGTTTTCCTCACTGCTCCTGCTCTCTAACTTCTGCACCATTTGTTTTGTTGCTTCATGAAGGAAGTGGCTGGTGTAACCGTGACAGATGGGTACCTGGGTTTAATGATTGCAGCAGCTGAAATTCCTGCTCAAATCCGACTGCTACTCTTTGGGGTTTATTCTTCAAAACAAAACCCAAGTAGTTTGTGCTGAAAAGAAATGCTAAAGGTGGTTTGAAGGCCACCAGCCTGGTTGGGAGCATCCTGCCCAGCAGAGATCCTAGAACCTCACGTGGGAAGGGCTTTGCGAGCACCTCGGTGCCTTACAGGGATAGGACTTGAATGTCAATGCGATGCAAGCACTTGAATCAGTGAAGTGCTTTGGCAGACCTGTCCCTTTTCCTTTGAGACTGGGATTTAGGGATTCAGCTGTCACTTTCAACCCTGCTCTGCAATTAATGTGCTCTGTGCTAGCAGCAAAGGGCAGGCAGAACTCCTGCCTCCTTGGTGTGAGTCTAACCAGTGCAGTTTGAGGTCCTTGTCTCTGCTTGTACTGGGTGTTTGCTTTCCAGCTCTGCCTCTGCAGCAGACATGAAATGTGGTCCCTCTCGCTGTGTCCAGCCCAAGAGCGAGCAGGGGATGAGCCCTGGCTACTTGTGAATTCCAGGCTGGTGGTGAGGGAAGAGGCAGGTTATGTGCAGAGTAAATCTGTCACCGGCCCGGCACTGGCGGCTCCTGTTGAAGCAGAGCTGGCCTGGCTGCAAACCATCCCTGGAGTAGCCCAAAGAGGAGGAATGAGGGAAAGAAAGAATCAGCTGTAGCTCAAGAGCTCGTGTGATGGAGCAGGTCCCCTAGAACCATCCTACCAGCTTTTGGTGCGTGCTGCCAGAGCAGCCTCTGCAGCAGCATCCCCTGGCACCCCCTCATCCAGGCTGGCTTGGGCACATTGTTGTCATTACAGGAACCCATTAAAGCAAGCATGAGTGTCTAGCAGGGAGGTGGGTGACCTTTCAGGTGCCAGGCTGGATTAGTCCCATCCAACACGAGCACTGAGCACACTGGCAGCAGTTGTGACTCAGATCCTTGACGTGCGCTGCTGCTTGCGACCTCATTGAGCGTAGTGCAGGAGCAGTGATGACTGGAGGCAGGATGCTGTTCCTCTGCTGGGAATGAGCCCCTTTGTTAGAGGTGTGACAGGAATTTGGACTGAGAGAAGGGTTGCTTTTTTAGGGGAAGATGAAACGTGAGGCCTGGCAGTGTGTGTGTGTCAATGGGGGGTATCACAGCATCCTGCAGGAGGGAGAGAGTCCCAAATCCCTGCTCCGGTGCAAGGAGCAATTCCTGGTGTTATCTCTGCATTTCCAGCTGAACCTGGCAGTGGTTCCTAAACACTTGGAACATTGGTGCACCTCCATGGCCCTTGCTGGAACTGCTGCCTGAGTTAACCCTTGGGGTTACATTGGTCTTTGCTCACACTATAGGGAGCTATGGAGTGCAGGACTCTGCTGTCATACAGGATCTGGCATTGCTACTGTTCACAGCTTGTGCTTTTTAAATCTCTTAACATTAAATAGCTGTCAGATGTCTCCCAAAAGGCAGCTTCCAACTGACTTTAAATGGCACAGCAGCGATAAAACCTTGATTTTACCAAGTTCTGTCAATAGATTTTGAAGGCAGGAGGTGTCTTTCTCCTCTTCACTACCACAAAGAGCAGAGTCCCAAAGGAACAACAGAATGGAAGAAATGGAGCAAGGGGATCTTCAAGCTGATCCAGTGCTTGGTGTACTCACCATCTCCTGTGTTAAAAGGTCACCAGCAGAACTCATAATCTAACAGGGTCATGGGCTGTGTCGCATCAGGAATCCCACCCTGGTTTGGGTTGGAAGAGACCTTAAAGCTCATCCACACGTGCCCCTTCCCTTTCCCCATGCAAATGATGAGATCCTTCTAGTTCAGCACTCTGCAAGGTATAATACACCCAGCCCCAAGAACAGTGTGTTGTTACCTGTGTTGAGTAGCAGTTCAGGCCCTTACTACAGCATTAGCAAGTAGTGCCTGGTTGTGCGTGCTTAGTTGCTGCTTTTTTTGCCTCTGTTACAGAACATTTGCTATAGGAACACTTGTGTGCCAAGAGGGATTAATCTGTACTCTCTCTTTAGCAGTCTATGAACTCAAGTACAACAGCACTGCCTACTGACCTGCCAAGCTTCAACCTCATCAGTGAGAGCCTGTCTTTTGACTTCAAGGATACTGACATGAAGAGGCTTTCGATGGAAATAGAGAAAGAGAAGTATGTGGCATGTGTCCAGCACTGGGATTTGTGCCTCGGTTGTAGTGGGAGGAATTGGATGGGTGCTGAATGTAGTTTTTAAGCACCAGACAAGCACCAGTGTGAGGTGAAAAGGGGAGAGAAGCCTTTTGGATTCCTTTTGGATTAGTAGCTCTGGTTGACCTGATGTCACACACACATGTCCCTGCTGCCTGCTTAAAGGCAGGTTTAAGCTTGCTGAGCTTGATTCATAGAATCCCAGCCTGGTTTGGGTTGAAGGGTCCTTAAAGCTCCTCCAGCTCCAACCCCTACCACGGGCAGGGACCCCTTCCACTGGAGCAGCTTGCTCCAAGCCCCTGTGTCCAACCTGGCCTTGAGCACTGCCAGGGATGGGGCAGCCACAGCTTCTCTGGATTTGCTCCAACAGCTTCTTATGTTGGGGGCACCAGAGATCCCTCTCCATAAGATTATCCTGGCTCTTGTTTAGGCTTGAATTGTTTGCCTTGGTAGAAGGTTAGCAGCAGCCTGGCTGCTGGTGCGCTGAGCTGTGGCAGGCTGGTACCGCTGCATGTGAATGGACGGTATCTGCAGTGTGTGCTGAGCTCATACTTTGGGGCTTTAACCCCTTTTTCCTGGAATCTATGTCATGTTCCTATATAAAAACTGCACACAAGCAAGTTTGGGTTTGGATTTGATTCTGAGCTTTGATCTCGTGTTTTCCTGAGGGTGTGAGTGGAGGCTTCAACATGACAGATCGAGCAGAAATCAAAGCAGATCCGATTTTAATCTCTGTAGTAAGAATGTGCTTTGTGCATCGACTGGTTTGTAGATCAAAGCTGAAAGGGCTCTGCCATAGCGCTCCAGCCAAAACTTCCCAGGGCAGGAATGAAGCACCCCTGGATCCCAGAGGGATGGTTTATGTTGCCTCTGCTCAGTGCCCTCTCCTGTGTGCGGAATAAGAGCCCCCTGTGCTGGAGACAGAGGTGAAAACTCTTCCTAAAGCCAGAAGGAAAAAGATAGAAGCTGCAAAGAAGGGGCTAATTCCTGCTTCTGTACCCAGGTTGTTAACTGGGTCATCCTGCTCTCCTCAGCTCTGCCAAATCCTGAAAGCAGCAGCATCTTGTGCTGTCTTCTCTGGGATTGTTCTCCTTCCTCTGGTGCAGAGAGCAAGCTCACTACAAATCTTGGCTCTCCGAGAGGGTTCCTGTTGGTCTGCTGGAGCTGTGCCCTGGCTCTCGGTGTTTCATTGTGGGAACAAGGCTGGCACGCTGTGATTTTAACTCCAGTTGATGCTTCAGCATGGAAGGCTGATAGGGCCCAGTCCTGAGAACTGGGTTTGCTTTTTAACTTGCTTTCTGTTTCTGGGAGACCTCTGTCTCTCCCAGCCTTGCTGTGTGTCTGAGGGATACCTGGTATTTTGGGGGCAGTGCTTGCTCCCCCACAATTTACAAGCTAACTCCTTCCAAACCATGAGAGGTCAGTACAGGAGGGTCCTTCCTTACTGGCAGGATTCGTGCCTTTGAGTTTGGGAGCTGGCTTTGGGGGAGAGTGCAGTGGAGTAGAGCAGTGGAAAGAGCTAAACCCGCTTCCCTTGTAGGCTGAGACGTGTAATGTCATGGTGCAACTTCATGCAGGGATGGGGACACTTACAAATACCATCCAGCAGCTCCAGCCTGCCTTTATCCTTTCGTACAGTAATGTCACTTAGGTTTGTGCCTGAGTCCCATTTTAAGGACAGCCCCATCATTGCTCAGGCTGGTTTCAGTTTCACACCTTAGGAGTAACAGAGAGAAGGTTTTCCTGGTATCATTCTGTTATCACTGTATCGTGTCACCCTGGCCTAAGACAGGACTCTTTGTGTGTGCTAGGGTGGAGTACATGGAGAAGAGCAAACACCTCCAGGAGCAGCTGAACGAGCTCAAGACTGAAATTGAGGCACTGAAGCTAAAGGAGAGAGAGACAGCTCTGGATATATTGCACAACGAGAACGCCAGCCGGGGCAACAGCAAGCACAACACTATCAAAAAGGTATCAGAGGGCTCCAGTTTGTATCTCGCCTGATGAAACCCTTTAAACCCAACCCCAACAGAACCCTTCTGTCTGGGTTAGCTTTTGCACACGTTGTTATATAATAAAACTCTTTGATCTAGGCCTCCTTCCCCAGCTGCTCCGCTTTGAACCAGGGGGCAGGGAGTGCCACGTGCTGGCTGATGTTTGCCACAGCCAAACCTGTGTCTTCAGTGCTGTGTGAAGGGATGCAGAGGCCTCGAGCTGTGAAGGTCTTGCTGAACAGGGATGCTGTTAGAAGGGATCACCACCCTAGTGACCTCAGGAACGGGAAAAGCCCCGTCTGCCTGTTGCAACTGTTCCCTACAGGCATTGCAAGGAAGCAAACACTGAGCTTGTTTGGTGAATAAGGGCAAAAACGCTTCTGGGTGCTCAGCAGAAAAAGCCAAAAGCCTCGTCCTCTCTCTTAATCTGTTCTCCAGCAGCCTGTAGTGCAGCTGCCAATACTAACAGCCAAATCTTTCACTAGTAGTGGGGTGTGAGATGTCTGCTCCCAGTGCTGTGGACCCTGGAACCACCTGCCTCTAGAAATCCTGTTGGGATGAGTAACTTAGGCCACATTTGGGGTGCTGGGTATGCTAGCCCAGGGATCACACCTTGAGAGGGATCTGGAAAGCTGTATGGCATGGGATGCAGGCTGGGGTTACAACTCCAGGGTTTGAAACCAAATCCTTCCCTCTTTACTACTCTCAGCTGAGAGGGCTGAAAGGATTTGGAAATACCAGTTGATGCCAGCTTCCATGGCTGGAAGTTTATGATCACTGAACTGGGGCAGGAACACTGATCTGCCTGGTCTCATTTCACTGTGCTAGCCCTGAGCTATTTGGGTTCCTGTCCCACCACAGCAGAGAATCTTCCCAGGCCCTTTTGTCACTGTAGAAGCTGAAGACGTTGCTGCTCCCAATGGGTTCTGTCTCCGTGCTCAGAGTCCTCAGTTTAAGTGGAAAATGGTAAATTTTCACTTTTGACAGCGATAAGTTCATAGAGAGCTGATGGTCCCATTTGTCTCAGTGAAAGAAGGTGGCTGGGCCATCATTTCAGTGCATGTCAGGGCTCATCACTCTCATTGGGACTGTGCAGTCACTCTTCATTCCTTTGAAGCTGGAGGCTTGTCCTGTCCTCTCCCTTCAGGAGGGATCTGAAGCTGCCCAGCTCCTGCACCTTCACTGGGGGAGCAAAGGTTGGAAATAATAGTCTATTAGTGGAGACATTAGAATACAATTACAGCCTGCTTTTGTGCATGGCACCAGGAGGGCTTTTGTCTTGGTGTTTGTGATGGGAAGGGAATAGCAGTTTAACAATACTTCAGTAACACCAACCCTCTGCCCCTCCTGGATGCTGCCGATCACTTCAGTGCTCTGGGCAAGATGGACAGGTTGCACAAATGACCTCATCTCACAGAGGATTCTTTCTTCTTGTTGTTCATTTTATTTTGCTGGTTTAGCCTCAAGCCCAGGGCAGAAGACCTATCTGCATTTGAGACTTCCACGTAGGTTATTCCAAGGTACTCTGCGTGGGGTGCTGGGGTCACTGCCTGCCACACTAACCCCTGCATGAGCTTGCCTGCAGTGCACACTGCTCTGGCCAGCTGCCCTTGCTGCAACCCTGCAACCTCCTCCCGCACTGCAGAGGGGGTATGGTGGTGCTGGTGAGACTGGGCTCACTGTGCCTGTCCCCACAGGGGAGCCCGTGCAGCACGGCACAGGCTTAAATCACAGCATCCCAGCCTGGTTTGGGTTGAAGGGACCTTAAAGCTCATCCAGTTCCAACCCCTGCCATGGGCAGGGACCCCTTCCACTGGAGCAGCTTGCTCCAAGCCCCTGTGTCCAACCTGGCCTTGAGCACTGCCAGGGATGGGGCAGCCACAGCTTCTCTGGGCACCCTGTGCCAGCGCCTCAGCACCCTCACAGGGAAGAGCTTCTGCCTAAGAGCTCAGCTCAGTCTCCCCTCAGGCAGGTTCAAGCCATTCCCCTTGGCCTGTGAATAGTTCACCACACTTGTTTTGCTGGGCTGCTGGTGGCTGGGAATCCAGGGGAGGTGCAGGGTGGCCTTGGAAGATTTCTTTCATGAAGGAAACCAGGACTTTCCCCCTTGTTTGCTGCGGAGAGAAATTCAGGATTTAAAAACAAACCAACCCCAGCAACTCTTTGCTGTCAAAACTGTCACAACACACTGAAAACTCCCCCTTGGCGTGGAGCAGCACGTGGTGTCCGTGTCTGCCTGCTTGAGGAGCAGCACAGGCACGTGGAGCAGGCTGCTGAGGACAGGCAGTGTCTGCAAGGCTGCAGTGGGGTGGTCCAAGGGGACCGTGTTGGAGCTGCTGGTCACCATTGTGCCTGGGACACCCTGCCTGTGATGCCTCTGCCTTCTTCAGCACACCGCTGGCCCCGGCTCTGGTCAATGTGTTTTCCTTCCAGAGCCTGCTTTCCTCTGAGGATTTGCCCTCAAGCCACAGGCAGAGATCAGCTCCCTCCACAGGGAGGATGAGTCTGGGGGAGCTGCTTTGTATTTCTCTTTCCTTGACTGTGGTCGTTGCACATTGGGGTTTGGTGAGGTTTGGGTGGCAGTGCTAAGGGAGGAAATGGCAAAGGGGAATGGCTTGAACCTGCCCGAGGGGAGACTGAGCTGAGCTCTTAGGCAGAAGCTCTTCCCTGTGAGGGTGCTGAGGCGCTGGCACAGGGTGCCCAGAGAAGCTGTGGCTGCCCCATCCCTGGCAGTGCTCAAGGCCAGGTTGGACACAGGGGCTTGGAGCAAGCTGCTCCAGTGGAAGGGGTCCCTGCCCGTGGCAGGGGTTGGAGCTGGAGGAGCTTTAAGGTCCCTTCAACCCAAATCATTCTGTGCTCTGTGGTTCCAGGGCTGTAAATCACTCAAGTTAGCAGTTCGTGCCCACCAGCCCCTCTCTGGGGAGCTGCACATGTTCCCAGGATGGGCCACGCTCCCTGTTAAGCATTTCCTTGGGGAAGAGGCTAAAATGAGGGGTGACCCTCACCTTGGATGTCTCTCTGGGGCAGGCTGGCTGTAGTTTCCCACTGCCCCATCCCAACTGGCTTGAGGAGCCCCATGGCAGGCGAAACCCAGAGAGATGAGATCCATCCAGCAGCTGGGAGGGATTCAGTGCTGGGAGGAGCCCCCATGGTTCAACCAGGAGGTCACCTCTGTGGCTCCGTGCCTGCCTTTGAAGACACCTCCAGAGTTTGTCCTGAGTAATTACGTGGTTAAGGTGCTAATCCTCTTTATGGGCCCTGTGGGCACAGCAGAAGCACCCCAGCTGGAGCCTCATCTCCTCCATCTCCACCATGGGCTGGTGCTGCTGATCCAGCTCACTTGGCCTCGGGAGTGTTTGCCACTCAGGCTGTGATAGGAGATGGAAAAACCCACTTCTTCCTCGCATCCTCCAGAGCAGAGAAGCTCCCAGGCCAGGCTGCTGCTGAAAGCACAATCAGGTCTTTCATTGCACTTGCTTTCTTCTTGCACTGTCATGCTTATTTACTGTGATTTAAGCCCTTTGAAGTATGCAAATCTCCAGGCTGTTCCCAGACAAGCAGCTTTGTCTTTGAGCAGCTCTCTGGTCCTTCCCCAGGCAGGCTTGGCTTTTCCCTGCCAGGCTGTCACATGGCTCCTGGCTTTTCCTCAGATGCAGGGTTCTCCTGAGGACCAGCACTGGGATGGGATGCCCATGGGTGAGCTGTTGCTGGTTCCAGGCCTGCCTGACCCTGGTGGTGGTGCAGTGTTGCCCTCAGGTAATGCAGGATTGTTGAGGTTTGGGTAAGCTGCTTCAAATCTGCTTTATCCCCAGTAGGGGCTTCCTCCATCATTTGGGCCATCAACAGTGGTGTTCTACCACGTCCCCTTCAGGTTCAGGCAGTGAGCAGCACGGAGGGATGCTGAGCAATGCGGACTCATCTGCAGGCTTATCCTCACTCCTTTCACCTTCAAGCTGTGCTCTGGGTTGTCCTCTACAGCAGTGTAAGGACACTGGTGATTTAGTGATGGGCACTGCCATCTGAGTCTCTACATGATGGAGACAGGGAGCTGCTGTGCCACCAGCAAGTGCCAGGAGGCTGCTTCATCATCAGGACAGGCTGAAGGGTTTCACAGTGGGGCAGCCAGGTTCCCTCTGTTCCAGCTGTGCCTGGCTGGCATCGTGCTAGGGATCACTGGAACGTGGCCCATGAAGACTTCCTCGAGTCTTGTGGGGTCTCTGTCATCTCCTGGAGCCTCCCTCCCTCTCCAGTCCCCTACTGGGACCTGCAGCCTCCCCTGCATGAAGAGGGTCTGCTGTGCCCTGGTGGTTTGCTGGGGAGATGGAAGAGGTTATGGTGCCTCTGGAGCTTCATCCTGTGTCAGGAAGGGACCAGCACAAGCCCTGTTGCTCTAGGAAGGGCAAAAGGAGGGAGCAGGATGCCCAGAGAAGCTGTGGCTGCCCCATCCCTGGCAGTGCTCAAGGCCAGGTTGGACACAGGGGCTTGGAGCAAGCTGCTCCAGTGGAAGGGGTCCCTGCCTGTGGCAGGGGTTGGAGCTGGAGGAGCTTTAAGGTCCCTTCCAACCCAACCCAGGCTGGGTTCTGTGTTTCTATGAGGTGCTCTTAGCCTCATGCAGCACTGCCTTGGTGTCACTGTCTGCCCCACTCCTAGCAGCACAGGGGCAGGCTGCTGCTGCAAAGCATGCACATGCAGCAGGGGCCTTCCCAGGAGCAACAGCACCGGTTATTCCCCCTCATTCCCATTCCCTTTGGGAGCTGTGAGAAGCCCTGAGCCAGGATCCTGGCTTCTCACCCTGCCTGGCACCCACCTGGGATGCAGGTGAGAGCAGGGACATCCCCGAGGAGCAGCGCTGCTTTGGGCAAATCCAGGCACCCATTTCCCCAGCTGTAGGAGCAGATGGATGCTCATCCCATGTGGGTCTGACCCTCACATCCCCATGTGTGCCAGGCCATGTCCCTGCCAGCTTCCTTTCCTCTCTGCCCTGGTTCTCCTCGGAGCTGGGAAGTGCAACTCCTTGGCAGCTAAACTGGGACACGGCAGCTCCCTGCCTTGTTTACAGGGAGCCAAAGGAAAGCAGGGAACGTCAGGCCTATCAGCTATTTTTGTGGCAGCCTTTGAAAAGCGTTTCCTTCAGATGGAGCAGCATCTTCTGTCTTTTAAATGCGCTCATCAAAGCACTGGGGGCCGGGGGAAAGTGGGGCTGGGGAGAGGAGAACCGGCAGCAGCGTGGGAGGGAGAGGGAGCCACAGGAAGGGTTTGGCTTCACAATGGAAGGTGGGAAGTGGAAGGTCCCCATGGATGCTGGGGCCTGAGGATGGAGGGGATGGAGAAGGACATTCAGGGGAGCAGGGAGGGGAATAAAGAGGATTTATGGCATGCAGCACTGGGTGGTGAGTTAGCCGGATCACAGCTCTCCCTCCCAGCAGCAGGGAGATGTCCCCACATCGCATGGGGTGAGGGGACACTGGTGGGGGTGGCTGGGTCACCCCCTCCTCATTGCCATGAGGCATTTTAACCCTCTCCCCGCTCCTCTGGGATGGGATCTGAGCCCCCTTCTGCCTGCAGCACACGGGGAGGCACTGGGTCCGAGCCTGGGGCAGCATCACTTTGTGTGCTGCAGTTATGGGGTTACCCTGCACACCCCGCCGGGCTCGGAGGCACTGACTTGAGTTGCTTGTGTTGGTTTGATGGCCTTAAATCAAACGAGCCCCGGAACCCGGGGTGAAACAGGGCTCGGAGGAGCAGGAATGCAGCGAGGGGGACTCTTTGCTTCCCTGCCTTTTGATTCATTGGAGCTCTGGCTGCTTAATTGCACTCTCTGTCTCTCTGTGTTTCCTTCGCAGCGTTGTGGAGCCTCCCTCCCTCCTGCAGGAAGCAGATTATCATAATACTGCTTGTAAATCAATTTTCCCCCCCTCTCTGCACCGACAAGGATGTAACCCGCTCTTAATCACCCTCCTCGCCTGCGGAACGCTGTGCTACGGCTATGGAGATGGGTTCCTCCTTGCCTGCCTGCCTGCCTGGGCAGAGGGTGCAGTTAGTGGAGGTGCTGGGGCCACCTTAGGGAGAGGCTGGAGCAGGGCTGTGCTTTCCTTGCTTCCATGGCCCGGTGTGGAAGGGAACAGGGAAAACCCAGTTGCTCCTGCATGAGGGAATGGGGTTTCCCTGCTTTCGCAGCCCAAAGGAGATGGGGAGCGAGCTGGGCTGCAGGGCTCCATGTAGGGATAGATGTGGCTGCTGTGGGGCTCATTGCACCAAGGAGCTTCCCCTGGCTCTGCCCATCTTCCTGCAGTGTATCCGCAGGGAGGGGATCCTGCCCCTCTGCTGTGCTCTGGGGAGACCCCCCCTGCAGCCCTGATCCAGCTCTGGGGCAGCAGCACAAGAGGGACGTGGAGCTGTTGGAGCGAGTGCAGAGGAGGCCATGGGGATGCTGCGAGGGCTGGAGCAGCTCTGCTCTGGAGCCAGGCTGAGAGAGCTGGGCTGGGGCAGCCTGGGGAAGAGAAGGCTCCTGAAGGGGAGACCTTAGAGCAGCTCCAGTGCCTAAAGGGGCTGCAGGAAAGAAAGGGAGAGACTTTAGCAGGGCTTGTTGCCGTAGCTCCAGGGGTGATGGGTTTGAACTGAAGGAGGGGAGATGCAGGCTGGATGTGAGGAAGGAATCTCTTCTGACACCCTCCAGCTTCCCAGGGGTCTGGCTCCTCTCTAGGGGCATGGATGGGCAGAAGAACCAGCACCGCACCAGTGGGGTGCTCTTGGGAAGCTGCTCTCCCCCCTCTCTGCAGGACCCCATCTCCTCCCTGTGCCCACAGCTGAGCTGCTCCTCCCGTGCCTCAGTTTCCCTGGAGAGGTGAGAGCATCCACAGCCTGGTGATGGAGCAGGGCTGCATCCCTGTGTGTCCATGTGCCTGTGCTGGATGCCCTCAGGGCTCGGCCTCCCCCTGCTTCCCCAGCAGTGCTTTGAGGTACCCCAGGGCCATGGAGGCAGTGGGGGATTAACAGGGAGCTGTGGGTAGCTGAAAGCAGAAGCAGGCTGGGAGCAGTCAGATCTTCCTTCGGAGCCTGAGGGCAGCATCTCCCCTCCCTGCCTCAGCACTGGCTCCTTATTTCCCCATTGGAGCACTGGGGATGCTGGGGGAGCATCTCCCTTTGCTGTGTGCGAGCCCTGCACACGGTGCCTCTGCAGCGGGGATGTTCCCAGTGCTGTTAGAGCTGGAACGGGGGGGGGAGCTCTCGGCAGCTCCACTGCGGGGCTCGGCTCCCAGTAACGGATCCCAGGATTCCGGCTTCAGCAGAACCAGTGTTCCCAGCGGGAGCTTCGGCTGCTTCATCCCGCCCCGAGGGAGCCGGGCCCTGCCATGAGGATGCTTTCCCTCCCCATGAGGATGCTTTCCCTCCCCATGAGGATGCTTTTCCTCTCCATGAGGATGCTTTTCCTCGCTATGAGGATGCTTTTCCTCACCATGAGGATGCTTTTCCTCGCCATGAGGATGCTTTTCCTCCCCATGAGGATGCTTTTCCTCCCCATGAGGATGCTTTTCCTCTCCATGAGGATGCTTTTCCTCGCTATGAGGATGCTTTTCCTCACCATGAGGATGCTTTTCCTCTCCATGAGGATGCTTTTCCTCGCTATGAGGATGCTTTTCCTCCCCATGAGGATGCTTTTCCTCCCCATGAGGATGCTTTTCCTCGCCATGAGGATGCTTTTCCTCGCCATGAGGATGCTTTTCCTCCCCATGAGGATGCTTTTCCTCGCCATGAGGATGCTTTTCCTCCCCATGAGGATGCTTTTCCTCGCCATGAGGATGCTTTTCCTCCCCATGAGGATGCTTTTCCTCCCCATGAGGATGCTTTTCCTCGCCATGAGGATGCTTTTCCTCCCCATGAGGATGCTTTTCCTCCCCATGAGGATGCTTTTCCTCCCCATGAGGATGCTTTTCCTCCATGAGGATGCTTTCCTCCCCATGAGGATGCTTTCCTCCCCATGAGGATGCTTTTCCTCCCCATGAGGATGCTTTTCCTCGCCATGAGGATGCTTTTCCTCGCCATGAGGATGCTTTTCCTCCATGAGGATGCTTTCCCTCGCCATGAGGATGCTTTTCCTCCCCATGAGGATGCTTTTCCTCGCCATGAGGATGCTTTTCCTCTCCATGAGGATGCTTTTCCTCTCCATGAGGATGCTTTTCCTCCCCATGAGGATGCTTTCCCTCGCCATGAGGATGCTTTTCCTCCCCATGAGGATGCTTTTCCTCCCCATGAGGATGCTTTTCCTCCCCATGAGGATGCTTTTCCTCCCCATGAGGATGCTTTTCCTCTCCATGAGGATGCTTTCCCTCGCCATGAGGATGCTTTTCCTCCCCATGAGGATGCTTTCCCTCGCTATGAGGATGCTTTTCCTCTCCATGAGGATGCTTTTCCTCTCCATGAGGATGCTTTTCCTCCCCATGAGGATGCTTTCCCTCGCCATGAGGATGCTTTTCCTCCCCATGAGGATGCTTTCCCTCGCTATGAGGATGCTTTTCCTCTCCATGAGGATGCTTTTCCTCTCCATGAGGATGCTTTTCCTCTCCATGAGGATGCTTTCCCTCGCTATGAGGATGCTTTTCCTCGCCATGAGGATGCTTTTCCTCGCTATGAGGATGCTTTTCCTCCCCATGAGGATGCTTTTCCTCGCTATGAGGATGCTTTTCCTCTCCATGAGGATGCTTTTCCTCGCTATGAGGATGCTTTTCCTCACCATGAGGATGCATTTCCTCGCTATGAGGATGCTTTTCCTCCCCATGAGGATGCATTTCCTCGCTATGAGGATGCTTTTCCTCCCCATGAGGATGCTTTTCCTCGCTATGAGGATGCTTTTCCTCCCCATGAGGATGCTTTTCCTCACCAGGGATGTTGTTTCTTGGAGAGCTTCTCTGGGCTGGGCTTCCATGTCCCGCAGAGCTGTGTCTCCAAGGACACGGTCATTCCTGCAGGCCAGGGCCCTCGGTGGGGATGGAGGTTACCCCAGTGGCAGCGATGGGGTGGGCTTGGCTGGCCCTGAGGCCGTGGGGAAGCTGTGGGTCTGGAGGCAGGCACGGTTCTGCCTTTGGCTCCCACTGCTGGAGGCTGTGTCCATAGAACCCCAGCCTGGTTTGGGTTGAAGGGACCTTAAAGCTCCTCCAGCTCCAACCCCTGCCACGGGCAGGGACCCCTTCCACTGGAGCAGCTTGCTCCAAGCCCCTGTGTCCAACCTGGCCTTGAGCACTGCCAGGGATGGGGCAGCCACAGCTTCTCTGGGCACCCTGTGCCAGCGCCTCAGCACCCTCACAGGGAAGAGCTTCTGCCTAAGAGCTCAGCTCAGTCTCCCCTCGGGCAGGTTCAAGCCATTCCCCTTGGCCTCCAGCATTGCAGTTCCCCTGTGCTCACCACCAGGGCAAGGCAGGAAGGGCTGTGCTGGACCCAGTCCCGTGCCCAGGAGTGCTCCATGCTCCCGTGTATCCCACAGCCACATGAACTGTGTTAACTGGGCCCGCAGCCCCTCAGCATACGGGGGGAAGGTGCCATTGTCCCCTGTGCTTCTCCTTTGGGCTGTGCTTGAGCCTGCTGGCAGCCCCTGGAAGCTGCATCCCCGCTTCCACCTTCCCTGGTGTTCCCAAGGGCAGGGATGGGGGGATAAAGGCAGCGGCTGCCTCATCCTGCTGCCCTTCACCCCCTCTTGCTCTCTTGCAGCTCACCCTACAGAGCACCAAGTCCCGCGTGGCCTTCTTCGAGGAGCTGTAGGGAGCGACCCGAGCTCCGCACTGCTGCTGCCACCGGCAATTCCCTTGGGATCCAGTGCCCAGCTGGGGCTGGGAGCGGGGCATCACCCCCGGGGCACACCGACGGACACGGGGCCGCTGCCCGCGGACTGTGCGATGCTCTCTGCCTTAGCATCCATCCATCCCTCCATCCATCCCTGCATCCATCCATCCCTCCATCCATCCATCCATCCATCCATCCCTCCATCCATCCCTGCATCCATCCATCCCTCCATCCATCCATCCATCCCTCCATCCATCCCTGCATCCATCCATCCCTCCATCCATCCATCCATCCCTCCATCCATCCATCCATCCCTCCATCCATCCCTGCATCCATCCATCCCTCCATCCATCCATCCATCCACCCATCCATCCCTCCATCCATCCATCCCTGCATCCATCCATCCCTGCATCCATCCCTCCCTCCATCCATCCCTCCATCCATCCATCCATCCATCCCCCTCGTTTTCCCTTTCTTTCCGGCTTTTTCCTTACTTTTCCAGTCCTTTGGCTCACCACCCCCTCCCAATGCTGGCACTATGGCCATGGTGCCGATGGGGATCCCATCCCTCCGGCTGCCTTCTCCCAGTGCCTGGCGCTCCATTAGGAACCCAGAGCATGTCCGAGTGGAGTGCTGTAAATCAGGGCTGGCGCAGGCAGAGCCGCGGTCCATGGGGATGCTGCTTCCCTGGGGCGCGGAGGCGGTGGCAGGATGCGGGATGAAGGCCCCCTCCTCATCCTCCTCCACCCTGCAAGGGGTCTGGAGCAGGAGAGCAGCCGGTGCCAACCCCACGGAGCCTCCTTTGTGATGGAGCCTGCCCCTGCCTGTCCTCACACGGGTGCCTTTGCCCACAGCTCTGCCCTCCCGGCAGCAGCAGAACGGGGATGCTCTGCCCTTTCCTTCATGGCTCTATCCCAATCCTTGCTCCCTTCCCACTGGGATTTACCCCAGTGCTGCCCCAGGACCCCAGTTCCCCGCTCCCACACCCTCTCCTGACCTCCGGCTGCACCGGGATGGCCGCAGGGAACTCTCATTATTTAAAACCCCACTGCCAGGGATGGAATTCCGGCGCGTGGCTGCGATCCCAATGGCTGTGGCCTGGCTCCGGCCGCATTCCCATTGCCCTGGACTCGTCCTCTGAAGGAATAACCATTCTCTATTGGTTTTAATAAAGCTCCAAAGCACTAAAGAGGGGCAGATGGGACGTGTTTGGTCTTCCTTTCTTTGGGAAAAGCCTCACGGAGCCCTCACTGCCGCAGCTCCCTGCAGGGGAGGATCCCTATGGGATGGTCCCTGCTCCCGTCTCTCCAGGGTCTCCCTCTCCCCTTGGGGCTCCCCCATCCCTGCTTGTCCTTTCCCTCACCAGGATCTGGGGGCTGAGCCCCATCCCTGGAGCTGCTTTCAGCCTGCCTGCAATGCAGAGCACATCCATGCTGTCCTCCAGGATTGAGCTATGGGTAAAACCCCTTTGGGACCCCACTGAACCCCCTCTGTGCCAAACACCCCAAGAACGGGCACGACCCCACCTTGGGGGTGCTGCAGCCCCCAGCCCCGCTCCATGGGCTCGGTGTGGTTGATCCCTGCACCAGCAGCAGGTCCATGGGAACGGGGAGGTTTGTGCAAGGGAAGGGCTCCTGCGCACGGGTGCTTGCACGAGGGGTGCAAGTGGGCCCGTGTTGGGGTGCAGGGGGTGCCCTGGCACAAGGGGGGGTGCTGGGGGCCGGGTCATGGGTGTTGGTGAGCACTGGGCAGCTCTGCCTGGGATGTGATGGATGGAGAAGGCACTGGGAGTTGTGGTCAATGGCTCAAGGCCCGAGTGGGGACCGGTGGTGAGCGGTGCCCTCAGGGGTCGGTGCTGGGCTGCTGAGCACCTTTGTACTGGGGACACTGGGACCGAGCACCCACAGCACTGAGAGCAAGGGCTGAGAGTGCAGAGGAGGCCATGGGGATGCTGCGAGGGCTGGAGCAGCTCTGCTCTGGAGCCAGGCTGAGAGAGCTGGGCTGGGGCAGCCTGGAGAAGAGAAGGCTCCTGAAGGGGAGACCTTAGAGCAGCTCCAGTGCCTAAAGGGGCTGCAGGAAACCTGGAGAGGGGCTTGGGACAAGGGCCTGTAGGGACAGGCCAAGGGGAATGGCTTGAACCTGCCCGAGGGGAGACTGAGCTGAGCTCTTAGGCAGAAGCTCTTCCCTGTGAGGGTGCTGAGGCGCTGGCACAGGGTGCCCAGAGAAGCTGTGGCTGCCCCATCCATTTGGGGGATGCTGAGAACCGGCTCACTTCCATTTATCCCGTTTCTCCCAAGCAGAGCTCCCCCCTCCTCCCATGGAGGAGCCCTTTTCCCCTTTGAGACCCCAAATGAAACAGAGCTCTCAAATCCTTCCCCTTTTCCCTTCCCTCCCCTCCTGCTCCAGCTGCTGGAGCCTCCCCCATCGCGGGTGTGATTTGCCCCAGAACGCAGCATCCCAGTGCAGGGATGGCCACGGCTACCCCAGATCCCGGCTCCTGGCACCTCCCAGCAGGATCCAGCACTGGGATAACCCCTTCCATCCAGGTTCATTCAAGGCCCCTCTCACTGCTGCCCAGTGCTGCTCTGGGATGGATGCTCTGGTCCCTCCGAGGCTCGGTACCAGCAGTGGCTGCAGGGGGACCCAGGGGCCACCCGGCTGCTCCTGTCCCCTCAGTGCAAGCGCTGCTGCATCCCTGGGGATGCTGATGCTGCCCTGGGGTGCGTTATCCATGGGCTTGTCCTCAGGGATTTGAGGGCACCCAGCCCAGTGTTGCCCCATCCCACCTATGCCGGGTTTCCCCATTCACATCCTTGTCTGCGATCTCCGTCCATCTCCAACCCTATCCCACCCCGTTCCACCCCATCTCCATCCCCATCTTCATTCCCATCCTCATCCTCATCCCTTTTAGTTCCCGAGGGAGCTGAAGGTGTTGATGTGAACCTGGACAAATGAGACACAAAGTTCTCCCTCCTCGTTGGTGGGATCTGCCCTTTCCAGTGCCACCCGTGAGCACGGGGAATGTGCTGCCATCATGGAAGGGATGGAGGGATGGTGGGAGAGGTGGCAGTGCCCTGCCCTGACTGAAATAAAGGGGGAATTGTGAGCGGAACAGCGAAGGGAATACCAGGAGTCCTGGAAGGGAGCATTGGACACATCCCAGAGGCTGGAAACCCGCAAAGCCCCTCTCAGAGCCTGGGGTTTTAAGCTGAAATCCCTGGGATTTGGGGCCGCCGCTGCCCCCAGCCAGCATCCAGCTCTGAGGGAACCAATGCCGAGCTTCTCCCTTCAAAACAAGCGAGGGGACCGGCAAAGGGGCTGCGGCTGAACCGGGGGAAGGTCCCAGCCTTCATCCCATGGGGAACAGAGCAGCGCAACAGGGCGGGATGGGGGGGGTCTGCCTCGGCTCAGTTTAAACACAGCGGGGGCTCCGCATTGGTCCCACAGAGACCCCGATCGCGGCTCCAAGTGCGATCAAGCCGGTGTTTAATTCCCGTTTCCCCCCCTGTGCCGGTGCCTGCTTTGCCTCCATCCCCCGGGATGAAGCAGCCGGAGCCGGGATGGAGCGGCTGCATCCCCCGTCCGCAGGGAAGGATGCTCCGACAGGTCCCGGTGGCAGCGGAGCGAGCTCCTGCGGGATTGATGGGGAAGAGGCCGGGAATGCGGCGCTGTTCCTGCCGGCAGGAATTAACGAGCTTCCACCGCGGGGCCTCCGGTGGGCGAAGGGAGAATTAATTGGGAGGCGACTTCGTTAACCCCGAGGAGCGGCTTGGGGAAGGAGGAGACTTCCAATGAGGCTGCTGTGCCCCGGTGGGCACCGCTCCGCGTTAGCAGCGCCCTCCCGCTCCGTGCGGCGAGCTCAGCCCCGCTCTCACACACCGGAGACCCCGCGGGGAGGATGGAGCTGGACCCCCGAGCCCTGCCCCTGCATCCCCCCCTCCCCGGGTCCAAGCGGTGCCATCCCGCAGGAAGCATCCCTGGAGCCCGCAGCACCGGGATTGGATCAGTGCTGGAATCCCAGCGCTTTTCCACCGCCTGCAGGGCCCCCCCCCCGCGGGTTCATCCCAATGGGCGCGGAAGGGCGATGGGGTCTGGGGAGCTCCGGTGTTGAGCAGGGAATGGGGGAGATTCCCGCAGGGAATGGGGGGGATGACGCTCGGCCGCCAACCCCGGCAGCAGTGAGCTGGATGCGGGAAGGGCTGCGGGGCCGCTGCGGGATGCTCTGTGTGTGTATGTGTATGTATATGTATATGTGTGTGTATGTATATGTGTATGTATATGTGTGCACTGGAGGGGTTGGAGGGGCAGGAAAACCCCATTCCGAAATCCCTGTGCAATCCCACTCCAAGGAGCACATCTGGAGCCCGTCCGGCTCTGCCTCAGTTTCCCTCCTGCTCCTGAGCATCCTTGGTGCCTGATGAGCACCAGGATGGTTCCAAGCATCCCCCTTTTCTCTTTCCCACCCCATTACTGCTCAGGGGACATCGTTCTCTTGTCTCAGCCCCGTCCCTCCCACCACAGCCCCATTAAAGGCCCTTTCCATCAGGGAACGGGGGCTTTGGCAGCTGGAGAGATGCCCCCCCTGCACGGGGGACACCGTGACAGACCCGTCCCACCGGGCCAGGGCCTTTGGAGCTACCCAGGGCAGACGGGCCCGGCCAGGAGGACAGAGGGACACGGGAGGAGGGAGCTCCCGGATGCTGGCAGCATCCCTGGCTGGGTACCGGAGAGCAGATGAGGGGCACAGGGACATGGATGCCATGGGGAGGATGCACGGGACGGGAGGGGGAAATCTGGGATTAATCAGAGACAAAACGAGAAATGGGGTGAAAAATGAGATCAAGGCTTGAGGGGAAGTGGGGGACAATGGGAATGGGGATGGGGATGGGGGGGGCTTCACTCCAGGCCTGGCTTCGTGCCTCTTTCCAGCTCCTTTTTGCCCCGCTGCAGAAGCAGGGGGTCCGGCCGCAGGGTCCCTGCCACCCCACTCAGCCGCGGGACCTTGGGGTGCCACGTGGGGGGACATTGGGGTGACGATGTCCGAGTGCTGCATGCGGGGACCTCAGGGAGATGGGGGGCAACACCTGGGCACCGTGGGGTGACACCTGCCCGGTGCCGTGTGCGGGGACCCGGGGGCAGCAGGGACCCCACGGCCGCTCTCCCTGTGCCCCACCAGCACCGCGGGGGCAGGATCGGACCCGGGATGCCCCCCCCGGAGGGGGGGAGGTGCCACCCCCGCCTCTTTCCCCCCCGCCCCTTTCCCCCCCCCCCCCAGCCCCATTTGCCGGGCGGGACCGTTCAAAACCCGCCCGTTCCCGCCGCTTCCCCCCGGATTCCGCCGCCGCTTCCCCGGTGCCGCGGGGCCGAGGATGCTCCGGGGGCCGGGGCTGGCGGCGGGGGCGCAGCGAGTGCGCGGCGGCGGGGGCTGAGCGGCGGCGGGAGCCCGGCCCCGGCCCTGCCGGGACACCTGGGGGGAGGCAGGAGAGGAGGAGGAGGAGGAGGAGGAGGAGGAGGAGGAGGAAGAGGCCGCTCTCGGCCGCGGCCCCGCCATGCCGGGGCCCGCCGGGGAGCGTGGCCCGGCGGCAGCGGCCCCCCGGGGGCTGTGAGCGGGCCCGGGGCTGGCGGGGGGGCGGAGGGTACCGGAGCGGCATGGCCAGAGCCGTCCCCCCCCCCGCCGCCGCCGCCGCTGCCGCCGCCGGGATTTAACCGGTGCTTGGATGCTCTCGCCTCCCGCTCCCACTTCGGGCGCGATGTGCTCCGGGCCGCCGCCAGCCCGCTCCGGAGCGGGGTCCCCCCGCGCCCTCACAGCCCGGTGAGGGGCTGAGCCCGCAGCCCCGTCCCGACACCGGCCCCGGAGGACGGGGAGCACCCGCTCGCCCTGGCCCCCCCTGGCCGGTGGGTGCCGGGCGAGGGGCAGCGGGGACCGGTAACTTGTTCTTAGCGTTCCGCGGTACCGGCTTGGGGGGGGGGGGACCCCCCGTCCCTCTTCCCCCACCCCACCCCCCACCGCCCCGCGAGGAGATTTGGGTTTAAACTTTGGCTTTTTGGGTAGCCCCGAAGATGCCGTTCCACCCGGTGACGGCGGCTTTGATGTACCGGGGGATCTACACCGTCCCCAACATCCTCGCCGAGCAGCGCCCCGTGGAGATCCCCGAGGACGAGCTGGAGGGTGAGCGGGGCCGGGGGGGGGGGGAGCCCACGGTGGTGCGGGGAGTTGGGGTGCGCGGTCCCCCCCTTTCAGGAGCTGTGGGGAGGCTGGAGGCGAGCGGGATGCGGATGGATGCATGGATGGATGGATGCATGGATGGATGGGGAGGAGGAGGAGGGGAGGAAGGGAAGCGTGGGGCAGCGGGAGGGGGTGACGGGGGTCCCGGTGCCGCCGTTGTGTCAATATGACACAGCAGGGACCGGCGGTGGCGGCGCGGGGCCGGACCCCCCCGGCGGGCCGGGGCCACCCTCCCGCTGTCATAATATGACAGAGGCTGGCGGAGCGGAGCGGGGGGGGGGCCGTCACCGTCACTCGTGTCACCCCCTCCCCGGGTCGCGGTGCCCCCGGGCTCTGCCCACCCCTGCCATAAGCGGGGCCGGGCTCAGCCGGAATTGGCTTTTTCCAGCCCAAAAGTTTGCCGGGGCCGCGGGACGGGCGCTACCGGTAGCCCCAGGCTCGGAGTTGGGGCGCGGGGGGGTCCCTGGGAGCCCCGTTCTGCCGGGGGCGGGAGGAACCGGGGAAACTGAGGCACGGGGTGACCGCGGCTCTGCGGGGGGGGGCTGGAGCATCCCCTGGGCACCCCCGTGGGGAAACTGAGGCACGGAGCTTGGGGGGGGGGGTGTGAAGGGCTCCGTGCCCAAAGGCGTGCAAGGACTCGTGGTGTGTGCACAGCTCTGCAGGCTGCGTGTGTGCACTGACGTGTCCCCTGGTCACAGCCCCGCTGCAGGGTGCCTGTGTCTGTGTGCATACGCACGGGCAGCATCACTGCAGCGTGTGTGTGTGTGTGTGTATGAGTACAACATCACTGCAAGGGCTGTGAGCGTGTGCATGCAGTGCAAGGGGTGTGTGTGTGTGTGTGTGTGCACATGGGCAAGCACCACTGCAGCGTGTGAGGGACACGAGTACAGCGTCACTGCAGGGGGGTTGCGTGCGTGCATGTGCATGCACAAGTACGGCGGTGGAAGGTGCTGGGGTGTGTGAGCGCAGGTACAGCATCACCGCAGGGTGCTGGGGTGTGTGCCCGTGTGTGTGCGCACACAAGTACAGCATCGCTGCAAGGGGGGTGTGTGTGCATGTGCATGCACAAGTACTGCACTGCATGGGGTTATGTGTGTGTGCAAGTACAGCATCACTGCAATGGGGTTGTGTGTATGTGTGTGCAAGTACAGCATCACTGCAATGGGGTTGTGTGTATGTGTGTACAAGTACAGCATCACTGCAATGGGGTTGTGTGCGTGCAAGTACAACATCACTGCAACGGGGTTGTATGTGTGTGTGTGCAGGTACAATGTCACTGCAATGGGGTTGTGTGCATGTGTGTGCAAGGACAGCATCACTGCAATGGGGTTGTGTGTGTGTGTGTGTGTGTGCAAGTACAATGTCACTGCAATGAGGTTGCATGCGTGTGTGTGCAAGTACAATGTCACTGCAATGGGGTTGTGTGTGCGCAAGTACAATGTCACTGCAATGGGGTTGTGTGTGCGCAAGTACAATGTCACTGCAATGGGGTTGTATGTGTGCAAATACAATGTCACTGCAATGGGGTTGTGTGTGCGCAAGTACAATGTCACTGCAATGGGGTTGTATGTGTGCAAATACAATGTCACTGCAATGGGGTTGTGTGTGTGCAAGTACAATGTCATTGCAGTGGGGTTGTATGTGTGTGTGTGCAAGTACAACGTCACTGCAATGGGGTTGTGTGTGTGTGTGTGCAAGTACAATGTCACTGCAATGGGGTTGTGTGTATGTGTGTGCAAGTACAATGTCACTGCAATGGGGTTGTGTGTGTGTGTGCAATTACAACATCACTGCAATGGGGTTGTGTATGTGTGTGTGTGCAAGCACAGCATCACTGCAATGGGGTTGTGTGTGTGTGTGCATGTGTGTGCAAGTACAGCATCACTGCAATGGGGCTGTGTGTGTGTGTGTGTGCGCACACAAGTGCAGCACCGCTGCAGGCTGATCCCTGTTTGTGTGTGCACAGCCCCTCTGCAGTGCACGCCTGTGCATGTGCGCACTCACCACACACGTGTACACAGCCACAGGGTGCTGGGTGCTGCACCCAGCCTCATGCAGCACCACCGGGTACTGCTGGGCCTCGGGATGCTGCCAGCACCGTGGCTGCATCCATGTGCTCAGGGGGCCAATGGCAGCAGTGGGAGCCCCAAGGTGACCCCGAGGCACCCGTGGTCTCCCCATCCCCTCCTCTGGCTCCAGGGGATGTTTGTGACACCCAGGAACAGGGTGCAGACTGCAGAGGGGGGGACGACCCCGGTCATGCCCTTGCACCCTGAGCTGGGTGGCAGGAACCAGCTCCAGGTGGGATGAGCAACCCCCAAGGGTGGATTTCGGGGGTGCCTGGACCCCAGCAAGCGCGGGGGGACCAGGAGCATCCCTTGCTCACACAGCGATGCTGGCCCTGGGGAAGCTCAACCACGGGGCCAAGGCACCCCGGGGTCCCCCCAAACCCCTCTGCCAATGTCTCCGATGGGCAGAGACGTCCCCTAGGGTCGGCAGCGCAGCCCCGTGCAGGTTTGCTCCCCCAAACCCGAGCTCTCAGCCCTGTTTCAGCCCAGCACGAAGCCCCCAGCAGCCGGCAGGGACCGGCTCGTCCGCACCGCCCGGTGCAGCAGCTTTGCTCCCTGGTGAAGGCGCTGATGTCCCGGCCCCGCTTCCTGGTGCTCCCCATGCAGACCCCCCCTTCCCATCGGCCGGGCTCTGGCTCCATGGCTTGGGGGGCATCGAAAAGCCAGAAACTGCCCCAAGAAGGAGAAACCCCCGAGTGCAGCAGGAGCAGGATGGAGCCGATGGGCACTGGGCTTTGGCCCAGTGCCCCCAGAGCCAGGGCACCCCACAGGGATCTTCCACACACCCACATTTTGAGGCAGAAACCCCAAATCCTCCCACTTTGTCCCCTCCATCCCTTCTTCCATTCAGCACGGGCTGAATCCCAAAGACCGGGTTGGTGTCCTCCTGGCTGAAGCTCTGGTACCCATCACGTAACCTGGGATGGGTGCAAAGTGCCCCGGGGGAGGTGGGTGATGCACACCCAGCACTCAGGCACAGGGATGCTCCAGGCTGGGCCCTGCAGCAGCCTTTGGGGGTGCCCCCAGCTCAGGTTGGTGGTTTTGGGGCAGGATGCTGGGATTTTGGCTGCGGAAAGCCGGGTGGTGGCAAGGGCAGGGTGGGTGGGTGCTGCAGCAAAGACTTTGGGGGTCCCTGGGGAGATCAGACCCTGCTTGGGGTGGTTTCTGGGGCCACAATGAATGTGTATGAGTGTGTGTGTGTGCACAGGTACCTCGCACACCCCTCCTGGTACCAGCGCATCCCTCACCCACTGACACCCATCACACCCCAGAGCGTTGCTTGGGGGGTGCTCTGCTCCCTGCAGGGGTTGCAGCCCCTCCGGCCGTGCCTCAGTTTCCCCTCTGCGATGGGGACCCCACTGCAGCTGCAGGGATGGGTGGCTTGGGGCCACCGTGAGGGCTCTGTGGGGCCGGGGTGATGGGATGGGGGCGGCCGGGCCCATCCCTGCTCCCTCCGCAGAGATCCGTGAAGCCTTCAAGGTGTTCGACCGGGATGGCAACGGCTTCATCTCCAAGCAGGAGCTGGGCACGGCCATGCGCTCCCTGGGGTACATGCCCAACGAGGTGGAGCTGGAAGTCATCATCCAGCGCCTCGACATGGACGGTAGGACCCGGGGATGGGGACAGGGATGGGACCCCCCCCCCCAATCCCCCCTTGGTGCAACTCCCCATTCGCCCCGCTTCCACCCCACTGGCTGGCGGCGGCTGGACCAGAGGCTGTGGGATGCAGGAGGACCTGATTCATCCATCGGCATCATCACCACTGCAGCTTCGCTTAGGCTTTACCCATCCTGGGGTGGGAGCAGCACCGCTCCCAGCTCCATAACCCTGCTGGGGCTGGATCCCTCCGCACGGGCTGACCGCGCTCCTCCAGCGCTCGCTGCCACCATCGGCCTCTCCGCGTCGCTCCCGGCTCATTGAGACCTTAAAGAGCGCGTTAATTTATTGCCTTCCCCCCCCATTTAAAAGCCTTTCCGGCAGCGCTCCAAGCTGCTGCTCCCGTCATTACTCATCGTTAGTGCTGCTCGGGCAGCCCCGACACCCGCATCCTCCGCAGCGCCAGGGCGCAGCACCCGGGTCCCCGGTTGGTTTTGGGGGTCCTCAGCCAGCGCTGCGGGTCTGCACATCGAGCACTGGGGTCTCTCCGTGGCATTACGGTCCTGGCTGGCACGGGGGACCAGCCAGCTGGCCAATGCTGGGGGACCCCAAACCTTGCTGAAGGGCCCCGTGTGGTGTTGGGGGCTCCTGACCGGCCGTGGTGCTGCGTGCCCAGCCGCTCTGGCTGCACTGGAGCATCCGAGCATCCCCTGGGCTCACCCCGTTGTCCCCCCCCGGTGCCCACAGGGGATGGGCAAGTGGACTTCGAGGAGTTCGTGACGCTGCTGGGGCCCAAGCTCTCCACGTCCGGCATCCCCGAGAAGTTCCATGGCACCGACTTCGACACCGTGTTCTGGAAGGTGGGAACCCCCGGTGGGGGGAGCAGAGCTGGGGTCAGGGCTGGAAATGGGGTTAAAAGGTGAAGGTTTGGGTCCGGTCAGACTTGGGTTAAGGGCTGGGCTCAGGTCAAGCTCAGTCCCAGGCTCCACATCAGGGTCAGCCTGGAGCTGTTCCATCCCTGCCGTACTCGGGGCTGCGGATGCTGGGAGCACCCATTGCAAGCGCAGCACCCAAGGGTGCCGGGGCGGCACCACCGCAGCCCTGCCATGGGGTGAGCCCCCCACACTCCCCCCCCCCTGCAGTGCGACATGCAGAAGCTGACGGTGGACGAGCTGAAGCGGCTCCTGTACGAGACCTTCTGCGAGCACCTCTCCATGAAGGACATCGAGAACATCATCATGACGGAGGAGGAGAGCCACATGGGCACGGCCGAGGAGTGCCCGGTCGATGTGGAGAGTGAGTGCCCAGGGTACCAAACACCCCCCCCTGACCCCGGTACCATGGGGGAGTGTTGGGGTAACCCCTGTTCCCCCCCGGCAGCCTGCTCCAGCCAGCAGATCCGCCAGACCTGCGTGCGCAAGAGCCTCATCTGCGCCTTCGCCATCGCCTTCATCATCAGCGTGATGCTCATCGCCGCCAACCAGGTGCTGCGCAGCGGCATGAAGTAACGGGAGCATCACCTCCGGGGCTCGATCCCTATGGAATCAGACATGGACACGGCCCCCCCCACCCCACCCACCCAGGGATGGGGGCAAGGCTGAAGGGGGACGCCCCGCACGGGGTCCCCCGGGGCGATGCGATCGCATGGCTGCAGAACATGGAACCTTGGTACAGACACAAACCCACACACACAGACCCCAACCGAGCATGTACCGTGCATGGAGCCCCGTGTGCTGCCCCCTCCCCGGGCGGAGGATCCCGTCGGATGCACCGATGCTCTCGTCTATAGCTCTGTATTTATGATCAAAACCAAAACCATCCCCTAAGCAATACACGCGCCTCAGATGGTCCCTAGGGATGGGAGCCTTTGCATGGACTTTGGCTGCCAAGGGCTGGAATTCCCACCCCGTCCCCTGTCCCGGCTCGGTGCCGTGCCTCAGTTTCCCCACCCGCCAGACTGGGGGGACTCCGGTGACCTCCTGCTTGATGCACTTTAGGCCGAATTCCCTCGGGAAGAGCCAGAGCGACCCTGAGGCCGGGAGCCCGCAATGGCCGGGGTCACCCCCCCTGCGCCCCCAGGCCCCCCCCAGCCTGTATGTAGCACCCCTGGGCACGGGCCTGGCTGGGACCTGGGGCTGTTCCTCCTGTTTGGGGTTGTTTTTTGGGGGGGGTTTTGGTTTCTTTCTTTCTTCCTGGGTTCGGATCTGAAATAAACGTGGGATTTCTGAAGCGCTCTGGGCTGCTGCGGCTCCTGGCGATGCGATGGGGCAGGGCGATGGGTGCCGGCGTCGGGAGGGCACCCATGGGTGCTGCTGAGCTGGGAGGTGGCAATGAGGGGGGGGGGTCCGGGGCTCTCCATCAGTCCCAAACCTGGGGCTCCTTCCTGGCTGCTCCTGTGTTCCCCATCCCTGTCCGGATGTGGGTCCTGCTGTGGGTTTATTCCCCTCTCCCCATCTCCATGCCCTGATATTCCATGTCGGCATTTGTGGAATGGTTTAAGGCCATTCCCCTTACAAAGGGCCTCCATGGGGAGCGTTTTCACCCAGGTTAATGGCAGATCCGTGGGGAGCAGGATCCAGCCTGTGGCTGCAGGCTCCAGGGTGTCGAGAGCACCCCATGGCTGCTGGGTGGGCTCCGGTCCCGTGCTGGTGCAAAGCCCATGGCAATGGAGCTGTGCTCATGGATCCCATCCTGAGGGATGCGTTTTTAATGGCAAATACATTAAACCAATAAATACAATGAGGGGGGGAAGCTCTTGGTGCTGGGAGAGCATCCGGCAAAGGTGCTGCCCCCTCCATGGGGTGCCATGGGCTGGAGGAGCCCATCCCCGGGGCATCAGGGCTGGGGCACATCCCCCCCCCCTGGAGCCCTGTTTGACCCCTATCCAAGGGGAAAACACAATTCCTAGTGCCTGCATGGGATCTCTGCCACCTCCCCGGCAGCAAGGGGGGGGACACCCCGTGTTTGGGGGTGCCGGGAGGAATGGGCTCCGTTCCATTGATCCGGGGCTGGGTTTGTTCTCGATCTGTGTAATTTATCAAGCAAATGGAAGTGAGTGTCCAAGTGAGGAATGGGAACGGGAATGGGAAGTGCAGCACGGCAATGGGATCACTGTGGCGGCCTCACAGGCACGTGGAATGGGGCTTTATCCATCTCCATAGGCAAAGTGTTGGGGGTTTATGGGGTGGCATTCCCAAAGGAAGTGGCCTTGGGATGTGTTTCTGTGTCTATATATATATATATATATATATGTATTTAACCAGGTTTGTCATAGGTGCAGTGGATAAACACGAAGGGGGCACAAAGAGGACAATTGAATTGCTGGGAAATGCAATCCCATAAGCATAAAAATGGATAAAAGGAATAATGTGATCCCAGAGCTTGGTTTCCAAAGCTGCTCAGTTCCAATGGGAACGGGGAGAAGGGAATTCCGGCAGGGTTGGAGATGGCAGCTCCCTAACCCTAACCCTAACCCTAACCCTAACCCTAACCCTAACCCTAACCCTAACCTTAACCCTAACCCTAACCCTAACCCTAACGGCTCTGCCATGGCTGGGGACGGATCATTGCGGCTGCTCCTTGCTAAGGGAGGTAAAGGATCACTGGGAATGGGGATAAGAAGTCCCTCACTGTGTGATTGCTGCCCTGGGATGAGGGAAGGCGCTGTGGGAGGGAGACAGACCCTGTGTGGGGCAGGGGGAACCAGGCAGAAAATGCAGGGATGGGGTAGGTGCCGCACCAGGGTTTGGGATGGGAAGGGAGGAAGACGGAGAAGGTGCTCTCTTGCTCTGGTGCTGCAAGCGGTGTGGGATGGTCTCTGCTCCATCCCTGCCCCATCCTCATCCCTGTCCCCATCTCCATCCCCATCCTTACTACCATCCCTGTCCTTATGAGTGTCCCTGCCCTGTCCCCTTCCCAGTTCCCATTCCCGTCCCCATCCCTGTTCCCCAAGAGCTGCCAGAGGACGCAGGCAGCGCCCAGTGAGGCTGCGCCTTGGCAGGGGCCCAGGAGCTGCTCATTTCCCTAAAAGCTTCCCGATAAATTACCCGGGCTCTGGCTCCATAAAGGGCACTTTGGGCTGGGGCCGGCTCCCCACCGCCCACCCTGGCCCCCGTGGGGATGCTGAGCACGTCCCTCCCTGCAGCATCCTTTGGGATGCGGGAGCACGGAGGGAGCCCAGCGCCTGGTCCTGCTCCTGTGGTACCCTCCTGGCTCTCTGCATAGGGCCTGTTCTCCCGCGCCGGCGGTGATACACACCATCATTACAGCTGCTGGCACCACGCCGTAAAACACATCCCATAAAACCCGGGATTTACGGGCTCCTCAAGTACCTGGGAGTTACGCGGCTCCGGGAGCACAAAACACCCCTGTGAGAGACGGGAGGCTCGGCCCCGGTGCTTGGAGCTCAAGGAAGCTGTTGCAGGAACCCCAAAGGCCATCACCCCCCCCTGGCCTGCCCCCCTTCAGGCCGGGGCTTGGCAGGGGATGCTCCACATCCAGCTGGATCCGGAGGTGCTGCATCACCGGGATTCACTGTGGGTTCCACCCTCCGGAGCATCCTGCAGCCCCTATGGGGTTTCTTCCCCCCTCCACTGGTCCTCCTGCAGCTGCACAACCCCTGCACCCAGGGCACAGCCCCCTTCCTCTGGGGACTCCTGTTTTACACCCAAATAGGTGCACATGGGTGCTCGTTTACCAGCCCTTGTCACGGAGGTGAGGATGGGGCATGGGGCTGATGCTGCATCCTCCGAGCCCAAGCTCCGCTCTCCAATGGGAAGCAAGCACAGAGCAGCCCCAATCCCACTGGGAGGGATAAAACCACCCCTAAGCTCGGCTGAAAGCTCCAGCAGCCCCAGCAAAGGCTGGACCCCTGCTGCAGCAGCGCCCACAGCTCCACACCAGCCATGCCAGGGTCACATCCCTGTCAGAGCTGCATGGGATGGATCCTGGGGAGCATCTCCCCGCAGATCCCTTGGTGGGAGCGCTGCCCCGAGCCCGGCAGCCGGGTACCAGTGTGATCCAGGCGGGATGTGGCCAAGGGCAGCTGGCTCCGGCCTGAGCTCTCCATGAATCTGGAGCTGCTGCCTCCGGGCACAGCCAAACCTGGAATGCTCTGGCAGCGGGAGCAGAGCTGCTCCCTGGGGAGGCTGCTGCCAGCATCCCCACAGCTCTGCACGAAGCCAGAGCAGTCACTGGAGACAGCGCAGCCCAGGGCCTCCTTCAGCCTTCCCTGTCCCAGGGACGAGAGATCATGGAATCCAGCCTGGGTTGGGTTGAAGGGACCTTAAAGCTCCTCCAGCTCCAACCCCTGCCACAAGCAGGGACCCCTTCCACTGGAGCAGCTTGCTCCAAGCCCCTGTGTCCAACCTGGCCTTGAGCACTGCCAGGGATGGGGCAGCCACAGCTTCTCTGGGCACCCTGTGCCAGCACCTCAGCACCCTCACAGGGAAGAGCTTCTGCCTAAGAGCTCAGCTCAGTCTCCCCTCGGGCAGGTTCAAGCCATTCCCCTTGGCCTGTCCCTACAGGCCCTTGTCCCAAGCCCCTCTCCAGGTTTCCTGCAGCCCCTTTAGGCACTGGAGCTGCTCTAAGGTCTCCCCTTCAGGAGCCTTCTCTTCTCCAGGCTGCCCCAGCCCAGCTCTCTCAGCCTGGCTCCAGAGCAGAGCTGCTCCAGCCCTCGCAGCATCCCCATGGCCTCCTCTTTACATCTTCACAGCGGACCCTGCAAAGCTCCCACTGCAGCAGCCACATGGCCGGGCTCAGCCTGGCTCTGGCTGGGCTTGCCCAATACAAACCTGCATCCTGAAAGCATCCTCCCAGGGCAGCCTGTCCCTGCCTGCCCCAGCTCCCAGCGCAGCCCCACAGCAAGCAGGGGGCTGTGGTCCCTCCTCACCCCTTCCCAGCTCCGACAGTGGGGAGTGACCCATGGGGGTGTTCTCCCTGTGGACGCTCACAATGCACTCAGTTCCCTGGAGAAGGAGAAACCTTGGGGCTTTTCTTCCTTCTTGCTTTTTACCTTCAGCATTGCAGGGACGGGAGCAGAGGGCTTTTGGGAGCTCCCTAAGCTCTTCATTAGGAGCTCCAGCACCTGAACCGAAGCAGTTTTACACACTGAACTCCACAGCAGCAAACCCAGGTCATAAACACTGCAGGAAACATTAAACATCGCTTTAAAAAGCCTGGTAACAGCTTCCTTCCTGGAGTGGATCAGCCCTGGAGCAGTGCAGGACGCTCTGAGGGAGCACATCCTGCCCTGGGAAACATGGGATGCCCACTCTTGAGCACAGCAGAGAGCCCTTGGCACTGGTGCCAGTGACAGGGAGACAACCCCAGGGGCTGCAGGTGAGCAATGACACACCACACCACACCACACACAGGCTGCAATGGGGGGGTTTATTGATGGAAAGGTGTATATAGGCAATTGCAGCCTTTGCCAGGGCAGGGGAGGAGGAAGAAGTCCATCTCCAGCACATCCTCTGAGGGGTCCCTGCGCCTCAGCCCCACTGCAGGCTGGGGGGCACCGGCCACCCTCCGGGCGGGGGGGGCTGCAGGGATGGTGGCAGCTCCTGCACCGGTGGCCAGCCCGGTGGGTACTGGAAGGGAGCTGGTTTCTCCGGCAGAGCACTGGGGAGGTGGAAGGAAGGGGTAGAGGTGAGAGGGGCCCTGCTTTGGGGCTGAGCTTCCCTGTACCCCCCCGCCAGCCCCAGCCCTGGGGCTCCCTGTCCCCTCCTGCCCCCAGCTCTCCTCACACAGCTGGGTTCGAGGAGCACACCCAGCACCAGATGTTCCTTTCCCAGCAGGCTGCATCCCAAAGCCAGCTGTGCGCTTCCCAAAGGACAAGGAGCGCTCGGAAGCGGAGAAGCTGCCAAAGCGATGGGTGTTTGCACAGAAGCACCCTTCAGCAGAGGGAAGAGGCTTCCTCCTCCAGCTCACAGCCTGGGAAACACTTTAGGTCCTTCTCTCAGGTTTACTGGTTGAGGTCACTGCAAAGAACACACCTCACTGAAGAAGTGCAAAGCAAGGAGCATCCTTCCCTTGTCCCCAGCTGAAGAAAGAGCTTGGCTGGGGCAGCTTGGAATTCATGGCAAACACACCTTTTCCATCAATTCCTGAGTGCAGGGAACTCATCTGCTCCTCAGGACAAGCCCTGGCAGGGGCCTTCCAGCTTCTCAGGCCTCTGATCCTGATGAATCTTTTTAATTGTTATGCCAGGACATGAATCTCCTTTACATAACGCTCTGGAGGAGCAGCACCCTCCTCTCCCTGCAGGGCCGGTGATGTGGCCAGGAGCCAGCTGCACAAGTTGAGTGCAGTGTTTTCTAGGCAGCTAACACGGAGCCAAGTCATTTGTTGTAATCCTTATCCCCTTGATGGGGTGTTTTCCGGGCTGAGGAAGAGAGCAGGGTGCCAGGACACAAGCCAAGGCCCTCTCGGGCAGGAGGAGCCCTGCAGCAGCAGTGTGGTGGGGAGCAGGATGAGGCACACTGCAAGGGGAACAGCAGGGCTATCAAGTAATGAGCTGTTGTGTGAGCAGCAGGACTGATCAATAGGGAGGATGCTGTCTGGGTACTCAATTCCCTGGGGTCTCATAAGATTCAAGTGCTACCAAAGGTTTGCCTACAGCTGCAGCATTTGAAATGGCTGTCCCATGTGGATTCCCTGGTGTCTAGCAAGGGTCAAGAACATTTCCTTTCCGAAGATATTAATGGGATCCTTCTCCTCTACCCACTTCCATGTTCATGTAACCTGTAGTACCTCAGACCCCCTTCTGATGGAGCTCATCAAGTGCGCTCCATGGCAGAAGCCACGCTCTGGTGCACTGACAGGCTCCGTTCCCTTTGGGAATTAGGTTAGGAATCAACGATGCCCTGGCAGAGCTCCACCCCTGAGGGAACCCCACAGACTCCACTCAGCTCCACCGCAGCTCTGCAGACAGCAAGGGCACAGTGGGACTGAAAATACACCTCAGGTGGAGGCTTCCAAGTGAAGATTGACCCCTTGAGGCCACCCAGGCCGCAGGAAGGATGGGAGGAAGGCACCATGTGCCAGTGCCTCAGCACCCTCACAGGGAAGAGCTTCTGCCTAAGAGCTCAGCTCAGTCTCCCCTCGGGCAGGTTCAAGCCATTCCCCTTGGCCTGTCCCTACAGGCCCTTGTCCCAAGCCCCTCTCCAGCTTTCCTGCAGCCCCTTTAGGCACTGGAGCTGCTCTAAGGTCTCCCCTTCAGGAGCCTTCTCTTCTCCAGGCTGCCCCAGCCCAGCTCTCTCAGCCTGGCTCCAGAGCAGAGCTGCTCCAGCCCTCGCAGCATCCCCATGCCCCCCACATGACTGTCTTTAAGAAAGCACTGCAGCAGCAAGGCTCTACCTGGCCACTCGGCTGCTTCTGGTGCAGCACAGCGTTCCCTTGGTGCTGTGCTCAATTTGGCAGTAGCTCCATCCATGAGTTCCTGCCAGGTATCCTGCCAGTAAGCCCCTGGCAAGGCAGAGACAGAATCTCAGCTACACTCACAGGCTGAGGCTTAACAGCAGCAGCTGTGGAACACGGACTCCCCAGGCACCGGGAGCACAGGGATTGCCTAGGAGAGGCCTCTTCCTTGGCAATGCAACACAACTTCTCTGGCAGACAAAGCAAAGCACAGGATTTGCTTGCAAAGGCAATTCTGGGGCTGCAGAGCACAGAGGAGAAGATGGACAGGCGTTGGCAAAGCCAGCCAGAGGAGGAGAAGCTTTGAGTAGCTGGTGTTTAGCTCCTGTAGTAGCTGGTTGTTTCTGAAAGCAACAACCTCAGAAACTCAGCTCTTGCGCAGCTTTGGACGCTGCAGGGACCAAGTAGTTACAAAGGTCTGGAAATTCCTATGGGAATGACCATCTTCTGTAAGAGGTGATCTACCCTGAGATCAAGGGATTCATGGGCAAGACAAGCAAAATGCAGCGCGTGATGTGTAGGGGTTGGAAGGTTCTGGTTGTCCATGAGCATCAGCCAAGCTGACGGAGAGAACAGAACGCAACAAGCCCAGACAGGCAGCAGAAGGAAGCTCTTGCCCAGACCAAACAGAGGAGAGGACAGGAGCAAACAGATAAAGAACAAAAGAGATCTGGCACCTGCCCAAATGACATCCAATTCAGCCTGCGGCACAGTCAGGTGAGCAAGGGAACAGCAGGACCTGAATCCCAGAGAATGCCACGAGGAGGAGCTAATTCCAGCCTCTCCCTGGCAGGGATGTGCAGACGGGGCAGGGGAAGATGGAGAAGCTGTCAACAGATGAGACGGGCTCCTGCCACTGAACTCTGTGCATTAATAACTCAACACCACGGTGGCACTGTCCTGCCAGACACTGCTACGTGCTCTGCTTCCCCAGGGCAGCAGGCACAGGCAGCCAGGCCTGGCTTGTGCTCTGGCTGCATGGGGAGGCACATCTCTGATGTGGGCACCCAAGACTGGAGCTATGTGTGTGTTTGTAGCATGTTCTGAGAGGAGGCACGCAGTGCTGGCAGGGCGAGTGTGACATGAGAGCTCAGGGGGTCCCATTGAGCTGGGAGCTCCGATCACCTGCACCTCCTCCTATGCCCCTGTGAGGGCCAGAAGCAGCAGCCAGCCTGTACCTGTTGCTCTGCGCAGCGCTCAGTCTCTTTGCTCTCTTCTCCAGCCAGTCCTCAATGGTGCCAGGTGGGACATCTGCTCCCTCCTGCTGCAGCTCCTTCGATCTCTGCTCCCCTGGTTGAGAGACAGGCTGTCAGACACTCCTGCCGCAGTCCTTTCACTCCATTAACCCACTGCTCATTACCCTGCAGACTCTCTCACGGTGGAGAGCTTGCAGTTTGCCTGTGGCAGCCCCTGTCACCATCTGATGTTTGGCCTCCTCACTGGTGACAGCTCCAGCCAGCCAGAGCCAGCAGGCACGGCGGCACTGAGCGAAGGGGAGGCTGGCACCCCCCGGGTACATCAGCCTCAGCCTTGCTTGGTGCAGGCTCTGCTGACCCTGAGCCCTTTCCAAAGCCGTGTCCCTCCAAGAGGCAGGACCGTGTCCGGATGGGTGCAGGCTGGGCAGTGGTGGGTGTGTGGTGCAGGGTATCACACAGCTGTCAGCTCTGTTTAAGGCTCATGCAGAGCCAGGGCAGGAGCCTGTCACCAGCCCTGCTCAGCTGAGGTGCACAGTCACGGCAGAGCACAGCAGAGGGAGGGGTACAAGTTGCTGTGTTTTCTCCTGTGAGTTAGGAACGAGCAAGGAGAGCAGCAGGAAACCTCTGCTGTCTACCAGCAGAGCGAGCAGTGTGAGCTGCTTTCAAGCCCTCCATTGCCCTGGGGAGCTTGTGAGGGATGGATGCCCGCAGGCACACTGTCCTGCAGCAGTCTCCTCTGGGAAGGACAGCACAGAGCCAGTGGGGCAGCTCAGCACTCCCCAGTCCCTCCCACTGGGCAGAAACCCACAGCTGCTCAGTTAGCAAAGCGCCATTGATCCCCCCCTCAGCCAGAATCCCAGCCTGGTTTGGGTTGAAGGGACCTTAAAGCTCCTCCAGCTCCAACCCCTGCCACGGGCAGGGACCCCTTCCACTGGAGCAGCTTGCTCCAAGCCCCTGTGTCCAACCTGGCCTTGAACACTGCCAGGGATGGGGCATTCACCAGTGACAAGGCAGGAAGGGATGCAAGTCCTTGACACAGCCACACTCCTGACAGCTCAGAGCTATTGGATCTCCAGCCCAGTGGAAAGTTCCCACCTCACAGAAAAGAGGACGTGATACTTGGAAAGCCAATCACTGGTATCAATAAAAAGGGAGCAGAGGCAGTTGGTATCATTCCCCTTCACCCTGCTCACCAAACCCTCCATGGACAAGTGCTCTGGAGGAGCCCTGGTCCCATATCGAGGTGAACCCAGCGCAGCCACCCGCAGCCGTGCCCACCAGGAGCCCGCTCCACACATAGCACCATATGTCACACGTTTAAGGAAAATATTATAGGTTTCCAGACAGGGTGTGAAATGAATATTGCTTGGGCAGAGTGAAGGATCACTTCATCCTAGTGGTGGCAACCAATTATTCATCTGCCTGTTGAATATTAATAGGGATAGCAGAAATGTGCTGCACAATGAGCAGCCGGAGATGGATCATTTGTCATCCAGCCTGTTCATCTGCTGCTGCTGGGGGGGTGACAGTGCACTCCCTGCCACCACACAGCCAGCCTGCCGCGGGGCTGGTGTCAAGGTGCTGCTCTGCAACCCACAGATAAGGACACTGTGTAAGTCTCCTATAGTTGTTCCCAAAGAGCAAAGCCCCAGCAGAGCTGTTTGGGGTCAAGCCAAGAGCCTGGGTTGTGGTGAGGGCACTGGGGAGGCTCAGTCTGGTGAGCTGGGCACTAAGTTCAGCTCCCAGGTTAGACTTCTCTGGCAACCCTGACCACAGCCACCTTACTTCCCTTTGTTCCAGGTTTCTCCATGCAGTGAGAACCTGGGCACATAACACCTCAGCAAGGGGATGAGCAGCAGTTGTGAGGCTTCAATGAGGCAGGGAGGAGAAATCACAGAGAGAAACCTCTCCCACCTCTATGTGCCACTAAGATTTCCTTTTCATCCAACACAGATCAGACCAGAAACTGGCACAGCCTCTCTTTAGAGCAGGGAGTTCCAAGGCTATGGCCCCAAAGTGCCACACCAGGGCCTGGTGGGAGCAGATGCAACTCACTGTCTCATGCAGACAAGCTCACTCTGGCTGCAGTGGAACGACTCCAGGCTGGCCCAGGTTAGGAACACATTCAGCTGGCTCCCCATCCGCCCAGCTCCAGGAGTTATTGCTCCAAAGCGCTCCAAACCTCAGGCTGAGAAATCAGGCAGCAGGTACAGGCAACTGTCTGGCTCTGTCTTTGGTCTCCTTTTCCTCTGAAGCACACACAGCCCACCCAGGAACCACCAAAAACCACCAGGAGATTGGAAATACTCCCTGAATACCAACAGCTATTCCAAGATGCAACCCTGAAAAAGACTTCCAGCCCTCACTCCTTGTACGTGATTGTGCAGCCAGGCAGACTGCAGCAGCAAGAGGTGTGAAGGTGCTTCCACTCTCCTTCTCGCTGGGCTGTTTGCTTCAAGGTCTAATTACAGCCAATTAAAGGAGCATCTGGAGTCATGAAGCACCTCTCTAATGATGCCAGAGTGGAGTCCACATTTATCTTCTCTTCTCATGCAACTTTTTGCATGAGTTTTCTTCCTGAACAAGGCACCACTGTTTGTGAGATACAACCACGGGTACTGAGCATGCCCCCCAGCAGATTTACATACAACCCTTCAGGGAGGTGTGGCAGCCCAAATTCCTCCAGAGACATGAACAGCAGCGGAGAGATGAGCATGATAAGGCCCTGCAACATGAGCAGCTTAAGACTTCACCCCATAGCCAAGAAGCAGCAGAGCTGCCTGTCACCAAGTTAAGCTGGTGACCACAGCCACCCCCAGCAGGATCCCTCCTCTTCTGTCCATCACAGCTGCAGGTGCCTCTCCTCTCTCAAGCTGGAGCTCACCAAAGAGGCTGGGATGTGTCAGTGCTCCCAGCAGAAGTGACAGGGTTAGCACGGAGCCAATAACTTGAGGCAAGAAGATGGCAATTTGATAGTGACTTTTCTTGACATGACTGTACTTAAAATGACAGCCTGGAAGTGTCTTGCTGCTGAAAGATGCAGTGGATGAAGAAGGCTGATGCTCTGATGTGGCAAGAGCTGGGAATATCCCTCCCTCCCTGCCAAAGGTGTAAACTGTTGCTTCTTGAGTATATTCTCCAGGGTGCAGAAATGCTGCAGCCAAACTTGAAGCTGTCAGAGAACAGCAGCCAGAAATTTCCCTGCTTAACCCACAGGATTAACCCAAACAACAGGGTGAATGAAAGGTAACAACATTTCCTTTGTAATAACAGAAATGCATCATTAGCAAGTGGAGCTCACCAGCCCATCCAACACCCAACACTTGACAGGGGTTCAGGGACAGGGTCAATATTTACATGACAAAGAAAGAGCCACCACGGTCTAGCAGTGTTTAAAAAGCCAGAAAGGGCTTAGTGGCCTACACCACTTCACTACAGGGTTTCCTTCCACCTTCTTCTGGAGCATCAGCCCCTGGACATTGGTTCAGTGCAGTCTGACAGCCCCTCTGTTCTGTACCCATGCACCAGAGCTGAGGAAAGTGGAGGTAAGCACCACTGTGGACCCACCAAGAGACCAGCCACTGTTAACCCACGAGAGGCAGAGCGTGGTCATCTCCAGCATGGTCACACAAGGCTCTGCACAACACGGTGAGTGGCTCTGGAGCTTCCAGCCTCTCAGCTCATCTCGAATCCCCAACCACCCCAGGCTGCAAGCCTGTCACAACCTCTCAGATGTGGCGTGTTCACACAGGGTAGCCCCTCTCCAGGTTTCCTGCAGCCCCTTTAGGCACTGGAGCTGCTCTAAGGTCTCCCCTTCAGGAGCCTTCTCTTCTCCAGGCTGCCCCAGCCCAGCTCTCTCAGCCTGGCTCCAGAGCAGAGCTGCTCCAGCCCTCGCAGCATCCCCATGGCCTCCTCTGCACTCGCTCCAACAGCTCCAGGTCCCTCTTGTGCTGCTGCCCCAGAGCTGGATCAGGGCTGCAGGGGGGGGGGTCTCCCCAGAGCACAGCAGAGGGGCAGGATCCCCTCCCTGTGCTGCTGCTCACGCTCTGGGGGTGCAGCCCAGGTCATGGTTGGTTTCTGGGCTGCTAATCTCTGCCCTAAGCCTCCCCATCTGAGCCACTGACGTTCAGCAGCCTAAAGAGTGGTGAGATGTCCCCATGACACAGAATGACAGCTTGGCTTTCGCAGCTGGTTCTTCCATTCAGCCTAGCCTCTTCCCCACCAAGTCCTGCTGAGCTCTTCTCTCCATCAAATCCCTGCCCAAGCTCCCTGCAGGCTCAGCTGGTTGGATTTTGAGGTGTGTGTGCTGCTCAGCCTGCACTTGGCTCACACGGGACTTCCATGGAGCAGTGCCACAAGAGGTGAGCAGGATTTAACTCTACAACCAGGCACTGATGTTAGAGAGGCAGAGCCAAGGCCAAGGCACCCTGCTGTCCCCTGACCATCATTCCTTGTAGCCTAATCGTTTAATGGAATGTTTGACTTGGCAATAGCAATGCAGGGGCTCCAAGCAGGAGCCAGGCACCAGCTCTCACCAGCCAACTCTCCACTTACTGAACAGTGACTGTGTCAGACAGTATAACAAGTGTCACTGGCACAGAAACCTGCCTGAGCACAGGGTTCCCTCTGCAGCTCTGCTCTGCTTCAGAAGAGTTTCCACCTCCCTGCAATGAGCAGATGCCTGGGAACGCTGCAGGCTCCTGCAAACAGGCTGATGGCCTGAGCCACCTCTGGAGCCCAGCACTTAAACCCCATGGCACAGGGGAAGGTTTGGGGCCAGCAGCAGGGACAAGGAGTGTGCAGCACTGCTGCTCTGGGGAGGGCTGCCTGGGAAGCTCCCACACAGCCTGGTGGGATGGGGTTTATGGAGTGCCAGTGCTGTTCAATGACTGATTCACGGAGTCGCCTCAGGGACTCACAGACTGACTCAGCAGCAGGGAGAACAGGAAGAGCTCTGTAGTGTTTGCCTTCCTCCTGCTCCCCAGAGCCAGGAGAGAGGCTCTACCCCACTGAGTGCACCCTCAGTAAATCTGAAGATGACACCAAGTTGGACTCCTGGAGGGCAGGAGGCTCTGCAGAGGATCTGGACAGACTGGATCCATGGGATGAGGGCAATGGGATGAGGTTCAAAAGGCTCAGTGCTGGTCCTGCACTTGGGCCACAACAACCCCATGCAATGCTCCAGGCTTGAGGAACAGCATCTGGAAACTGCTCATGGGAAAGGAGCTGGGGATGCTGATTGATGGAGCTGAACATGAGCAGCTTGTGCCCAGGCAGCCAAGAAGCCCCCAGCATCCTGGCCTGGATCAGCACCAGTGCGGCAGCAGGGCCAGGGCAGGGATTGTGCCCCTGCACTGGGCACTGGTGAGGCTGCACCTCGAATCCTGTGTTCAGCTCTGGGCCCCTCACTGCAAGAGAGACATTGAGGGGCTGGAGCGGGGCCAGAGAAGGGCACTGGGGCTGGTGCAGGGCCTGGAGCCCAAGTGTGATGGGGAAGGGCTGAGAGACCTGGGGGGTTCAGATGGAGAAGAGAAGGCTCAGAGGGGACCTAATGGCTGCCTCCAACTGCCTGACAGGAGGATGGAGCCAGGAGGGGCTGGGCTCTGCTCCCAAGGAACAAGGGATGGGACAAGAGGAACCGGCCTCAAGCTGCACCAGGGCAGGTTTAGATGGAGCTGAGGAACAATTCCTGCCCCAGAGGGTGCTCAGGCATTGGAACAGGCTGCCCAGGGCAGGGCTGCAGGCACCGGCCCTGCAAGTGTTCACACCCCGTGGAGACGAGGCCTCAGTGCCATGGGGCAGTGGTGGCCTTGGCAGTGCTGGGAAGGGTTGGACTGGATGAGCTTAAAGGGCTTTTCCAGCCTGGCTGGTTCTGTGATTCTGTGATATGTCCTATATCTGCATGATGCACACACACACTTTCAACACTTAAGCCTGGTTTTGTCAGACTATTGGCAAAACAAGTTTGCTTCAGCAGACAGTGTGGGCACAAGGGCTGCTCAGAAGCTGGGCTGCATTAGGAAGAGCATTGCCAGCAGGTCGTGGAAGTGATCCTTCCTCTCTGCTCCACACTGGTGAGCTCATGTCTGGGTGTTGTGTCCAGTGCTGGGCTCCCCAGTACTACAGGGAGTCCCTGCTTTGGGCAAGGTTGGGATGGGACTAGATCATCTCCAGTGGAGATCTCAACTGTTCCACAAGCTCTCACCAACACCTCACATTCCTAACCACCAAAGCAATGAACCCTATAGAGAAGAGAGAGCTGCTACCCTTTTTAGGGCAAGGAGGTGGCACTCCCAGAATGAAGAAGTTCAGGAGTGCTCTGGAGACTCCCAGCAGGGGAGCAGCTCCCATTCATCCTCTGCCCAAACTTTACTTCCACCCAAAGCCACAGGAGTAGAGGTCATTTCTGGACCCAAGACCCCACGTCCTCTCCTCAGGACAGCCCAAGTGACAGCAGGCTCTTCCCAAGAGCAGAAGCAGCAGCTCCCTGGTAATAGTGGAGAGGTGGGGGAAATGAAATCCATAAATTGAAGGGGAAGTGATGTACCAGTGCCCTCTGCTGCTGGCAGGTTTTATTCCCTGACTGAACAAACCCCCGAGGGCTCAGAAAGCCCACTCTGCTTCAGCTGCCTGCTGAGTAGTGACAGCATTACTCAGCTCCAGGTTTGTGCCTGTGCCAGCAGATCAAGAGCAGAAAGCACATGAAACCCACAGCACTGCCAGCCACGCTCTAGGCTCACACAGCACTAGGAGGCAGGCAGGAGGGATCCACCCCAGGCTCCTCATGTGCCCCTCTGCAGCTCACAGTCCCCACAGCAGCTCCTCCTCCTCAGAGCCCCCTGAGCTTGAGGACTTACCTTGAACCTGGGCACTCAGCTTCTCCAGGTCCTGCTCTGTCATGTGGGAAAACCTGCAGCTGGACCCAAAGTCACACTGTCCTGGAAGAAAAGCCATGGAGCTCCATGAGAGCTGCACACACAGGGTCTTCCCTCCTTGTTACACCCACAGGCCAGGCACACAGGCCCCCTTCACTCCCTTCAAGACACACACACACACCAGGGCTCCCCAGAACAGCCATGGGCTGGCTCAGGAAGGAGCTGCTGGAGCTCACCAGGTTATTTCTACCTCACAAGAACTCACCTGTTTGCAGAAACTTCCGACAAGGCTTCTTGGTTTGCTCCTCTTGCAGGATAGCAGCAGCATCTAAGGGAGACAAAGAACAAACCAGGGTAAAGATCCCTTGCCCAGCAATACCCCATCCTGCCGTGGTCCAAGACAGCTCAATGGGAAGCTGTTCTGTATGACAACCAGGAACTTAAACCAGACAAACTAACAGTTAGCAGTCCTTGTTTGCACCCCTGGCTTCAGCTTTTCAAACACCACCTTCTTTCCCTCTGCTTCATCCTCTGTAGGGAACAGCAGCATGACAGAAAAGGAAGGACTCTGCAGCACAGAAAGAGATTCACCAAGCTCTCAGGAAGAGCCCTTGGAGAACCCTGTGCTGAGGCTGCAGTGGACACCACTGGAATGGTCCTTCACCTGCTGGAGACATCCCTGGGGAAAATGAGCCTAGAAGACACAGCAGCTCCCACAGCCTCCATGGAAAAACTTGCACTGGCTGATGCCAGGCCACAGAGTCTGGAGATGAGAGGAGAGGAATCCCCTAATCAGGGATGGGATGAGGAATTTGATCAATCAGAGGAAACCCAAGGGTTGCAGTCTGGTGAGAAGACAAATACTAGGTAGTGTGCCTCATCACCACTGAGCCAGCCAGAACTGGGCCGGGGCTGTTGGTCCTTCACACTTGGCCATTCCAGAGAACCCTTCCAACTTCCACATGGGGTTAAGCAGACAGCAGAGCGACCCAGAGCTCAGGGCATTCCTCACCTAGCTAGCCAGGAGCCAAACAGCCTGCAACTCCTGATGCTGAGGAACCAAGAGGGAGCAAAGGAACATCCAGGCAACAGTCCTGCTCTCTCTGACACTGGACACGCATATCCACCACATTCCTCAGGCTGGCACTAAGGTAACTACATGGTGAGTCAGGTCCAAGCACAAAGCTGGGTGAGAAGAGGACAGTTAAACAGGCAGAGGACACTGGATGTTCCTCCAGCATGTCCTGATACAGCCTCCAGCCCCAGATATTCAGTTCCTCCTGTGCCAGACCTCAGTGCACTCAGTCCTCCTCCTCTGCCCGCCCCCTTGGCTGAGATATTTGAACATACCAGTGCTTCTCAGTCCTTTCACCCTTCTGGGCTCTCCAGCCAAGCAGTCACATACTCAGCCTCTCCCGCAGCCACCCTCAGAACCCTCATCTCCACCTGCTTTCTCCATATAAACACCCATACTCCTTATTCCTCACACATCAGAGACTGACTGTGGTTTGCAGAAGGCACCTGACTCGCCTTCAGGAACTGTAACTCACTTTGCTCTCTTGGGTCTCCTGTCACAGGTTGGCTCATGATGCCAAGAGGTTTATCTGCAGCCTCTGTTCTCAGAAACACCCTCCCTGTCTCTTCCAGCTCATCTCAAGCTAATCTCTACAGTTTCCCCTTCCCACATCCAGACACGTGAGGCTTTGCCTCTGAGACTGCTTGCCAGCAGCAATATCAAGTCCACAAACCAGAGCTTTGCTGGCTCAGCTCCTTAAGGGGAGACCTTAGAGCAGCTCCAGTGCCTAAAGGGGCTGCAGGAAAGCTGGAGAGGGGCTTGGGACAAGGGCCTGTAGGGACAGGCCAAGGGGAATGGCTTGAACCTGCCCGAGGGGAGACTGAGCTGAGCTCCTAGGCAGAAGCTCTTCCCTGTGAGGGTGCTGAGGCGCTGGCACAGGGTGCCCAGAGAAGCTGTGGCTGCCCCATCCCTGGCAGTGCTCAAGGCCAGGTTGGACACAGGGGCTTGGAGCAAGCTGCTCCAGTGGAAGGGGTCCCTGCCCGTGGCAGGGGTTGGGGCTGGATGAGCTTTAAGGTCCCTTCAACCCAAGCCAACATGTGATTCTATGATTCACTGGAACAGACAACCTGAATATAAATCATTAGTGCAGATTTATTTCATCTGTCCCCCCCATCTATCACCTCCCCGGTCCCAGAAAGAGAGTGGCAGTTGGTACCCACCTCGGAATAAGTCGTACCAGGCTCTCTTAGCCCTGAGATGCTGCACTCCATTGAGATGCTTCTTCCTGTTGTGAAGGTTGTCCTGGAAGGACCTGTCACAGTAGTCACAGAAGTATCTTTTCCCCATCTCTCTTCTGGCAGAGCAGCATCAGCGTGGCCGGGAAGCATCAGACAGCTCCTCGGCACCCAGCCCTGGGGATGGAGGATCCAGGATTTACAGCGCCTGTTTCCAGAGGGGAACAACTCAAATCATGTGGGGTTGGCAGACAGAGGAAGAGGCGAGACCCAGCAGTATATATTCTTGTCCATCAGAGACTGGCAAGGCAGCATCTGCTGCATGTACATGGGAGAACAGGCTTGGATCTACACCTCTTCTCTGCAATATTCCAAGCAAAACCAGGTCTGCTGAAGGAATTCTCCTGCCCTGTGCATGCTGGAGTTCAGACCCACAGAACAGAGACCCTGAGAGCCAGCAGCTCCCAGCTCCATCTGCACCAGGGAAGCTGCAGCAGAAACCATCCACAGTGCAAACAGGAGCAAGAGGTCCACGCCACGGCCTCCACCTGGGGCCCAGACTTGAACCCCAGAGCACAGACAACCTCCACAAGCTGCCATGCAAGAGGAGGGACATTCCCCTGTGCCCATTTCTACAAAAGGAAGAAACTCAGCAACTCCTCAAAGATGAAAACCAGCTGATCTGACCTGCACACAGGTGGGAGGCTGCATTACCAACACTGAAGGACCAAACATTTCACTCACTACTGATTTACTTCTGTACACCCAGTGCTGCTCTCTGCATACTCCCCAGCCTACAGATGTGTCTGTTTCACCAGGTGCAGCATTCACAATAGCTGAGATCACAACAGCCTTGCAGCCAGGAGGAAAGAACCCCCAACCCATGGCCACCAACAGCAACCTGGAGATGCCAAGTGCTTCTCCTGCCCTAGGAAAAGCTGGTCACATACGTATGTGTAGTCTGGAGATGCTGCTGTGGAGTACAGAGGATTAACAGGACAGAACTCCTGTGCTCACATCTGTGCTGGAGCTGGAGCAGGAGGGGTTTGGGATTAAGTGCAGTCCTGTCCCCATCAGCTGTCCTTACTGGAGCTGTGACAGGCACCCTGTGGGAGCTGCCAGCTCTCTGCAAAGTGACACACAGGAACCTGATAAATGCCAAAGATGGATGGACTTGGAGATAAACTCCAGAAGTGATTCTCCACTTTCTGACACCTTGACAGCCAAACGCACTTAAAAAATGGCAGAGACCAGAGCAAGAAATAAAGATTTTATAAATAAAACAGGCTCAGAATCAATCACAGCCTCCTTCAGAACCTGCTGCCCACCACCCACGGTGTGTGCTTGAGGCCAAAATCCCCCCAGGGGCTGCAGTGCACCCCCAAAGTGTGAGCAGCAGCACAGGGAGGGGATCCTGGCCCTTTCTGCTCTCTGGTGGGACCCCCCCCTGCAGCCCTGATCCAGCTCTGGGGCAGCAGCACAAGAGGGACGTGGAGCTGTTGGAGCGAGTGCAGAGGAGGCCATGGGGATGCTGCGAGGGCTGGAGCAGCTCTGCTCTGGAGCCAGGCTGAGAGAGCTGGGCTGGGGCAGCCTGGAGAAGAGAAGGCTCCTGAAGGGGAGACCTTAGAGCAGCTCCAGTGCCTAAAGGGGCTGCAGGAAAGCTGGAGAGGGGCTTGGGACAAGGGCCTGTAGGGACAGGCCAAGGGGAATGGCTTGAACCTGCCCGAGGGGAGACTGAGCTGAGCTCTTAGGCAGAAGCTCTTCCCTGTGAGGGTGCTGAGGCGCTGGCACAGGGTGCCCAGAGAAGCTGTGGCTGCCCCATCCCTGGCAGTGTTCAAGGCCAGGTTGGACACAGGGGCTTGGAGCAAGCTGCTCCAGTGGAAGGGGTCCCTGCCCGTGGCAGCGGGTTGGCACTGGAGGAGCTTTAAGGTCCCTTCAGCACAAACCAGGCTGTGACTTCAAGCAGAACCACAGCAATCCCCCTGATCTAAGCATGCTGAGCTAAAGCAGCTCTGCCAAGTCCCCTGCCAAGCCCCCATCCTGGCATCCTACGAGCAGCAGCACAAACACCCTGCCTTCCTGTGCTCCCAAGACCCTGCTTCACAATCAAGTCCCTGGAAAACTCGCGGGCTTCACCCCACAGGTTAAACCAGAGTCTCCTCTGTCTGCATGTGATGGAAAGATCCAATTTTTCTGAATCAGCTTTCAAACTTTCATACTGAAGGACAAATACGCAGAAACTGCAGCTGAACGCAAAATGTTTTTGGTTTAAGGTCCTTTTGGTTTCCAGGTGAAATACCCCATCAGGAGGTGATGAGCCAGTTACCTCTGCCTGATGTAACTGCAGACTGCTTCACCTGCAGTCAGACCTGGCTCCTGCTTGGATGCTGTAACTCAGCTCTGCAGGGCTTGCAGTGTGAAACTGTCCTACTCCAGTCCAAGAAACTAAACCCAAGTACTGCTTAATGAACATTAAGCTGTAATTTCCCCCATCCTTCACTAGCAGCTTTGCTGTGCTGTTGTGGGGCTGCTGGGATCCAGAGGGAACACTCATGCTCTGCTCTGCTGTGCCTTTTAAGTATGAAAACCCCCTTCTGCATCTTATTCCACAGTGTCCCAAAGTTCCAGGGAGGAGAAAAGCTTCCTGCTTCAGCTGCTGGCTCCTGCACTCCATCTCTGCAGTTCAGCTGCTCTGAACGTGGAAAACAAATGAGATTCTGCAGTGGTCCCACACAAGTTTCCAGAGCTCTCACTGGGGATTCTTCCTGCAGAAGCCCAGCAGCAGCAGCCTTTGAAATCCTGTTTCCAACTTTTCCTTTCATCACCCCACCAGCAATAATTGCAGGAGCTCCTTCCCCCTCCTTCGCCAACAAAAGCTCCTACAGATTCCAGGCAGCCAGATCCCACACCCCACAGGTGCCGGCTTCCAAATCCTCCCAGCAATTCCCATTGCAGGGGATGAATGGAATAAAAATAGAGCAATTAGAGGAGCATCTCATTCTCCTAGAGATCACCCCTTCCAAAGAATACTTATTTCCATCTTGTTAAGGATTCAGATGGACTGTCTTGGCTGGATTTTTACAAGCCTCTGCAGTAGCAGCAATCCACAGTGCCCTGTGCTGAACTCATAGGGAGGAATAAAAGCAGCCCCTGCACAAGGCTGTAACCTACTTCCAGTTCCCACATGGCTCCCCCAGTAAACAAAGAGCATTATTCAGCTGCAAACAGAGATGTTTGCTAATTAAATCCATGTTAGATATTATGAAATCAAGTCAATGGAGCTGCTTTAGAAAGAACTGCTTCAGTGTGGCCATAGGTGACCACTGCCAGCCCCTCATTTGCAACTGAATTCCAGCAGACAGACCTCTGGACACATAAGCAGGTTTCAGACAGCTTAAGTCTTTCTGCAGAAGTCCAAACACACTCAAAAATCAGGGCTTTGCCTTGTATCTTGAAGCTTAAAAACATTCACCACAATCACCTCTCCTGTAAGCCTCCTGCAGCCACATTGGGAGGTATGGCAGGTGGTTCACCCATCTGGCTGAGGTGCTTGGTAGGACTTCAGGCAAGACCTCATGCACCATCCTACACCTTCCCTTCTGCAATTGCTGCCACAGCACTTCTCACTGGCTGCAGATCGCGTTAAGGACTCGCTGGGGGGTCCTTTCGTTGATTTCCCAAGATGTGGACAGAGGGAAGAAGGTGACCCCGAAATGGGCACACGCAGGCGTAGGTCTGTCTCGTGTAATGGCTTTTCTCTTTGCTGAACCCTGAGGATTGCTGCTGGGCCTTGACCTCAATTTCCTGCTGCCTCATAGCCCAGGCTCGGGGCCGTTTCAGCCACTCTGGATACCCAGGCAGATGTGAAGTTAATTAAATCCAAGTGTCAAGCTTATGACACTCGGCTGCCAGTTTAAATGTGCTCATATCTCCATGGGAACACAGAGCCTGCCAGCACCTCCCAATGACAGGGGGACAGACCCTGACCTCTCTTACACCTGGTGTAAACATGGAGCTTAATAATAACTGAGCTTTCCAAAGGGGGACAGCACCATACACAGAGCACACTGGGCACCTTCCAGGCTTCATGTGGGCTTCCATGCAGAGGCTTTGCCCTAGCCCAGATCTCTGCAGGAGCTGCGTGCAGGGAGCCAAACGTTAATAACTTAAGAGAAATGAGTGCCCAGCCAGACCATGAGCTCCTTCTGAGCAGCCAAGAGGACCGAAACAACAGAGCAAGCATTACCTGAGGATCTGCTCTCAAACCTCATGGAGATGCTCCTTTAACAACGCTCCCGCAGAGAGATGATTTCAGGTTTAAGAGTCCCCTGATCCCTGGCTGTCCTGCTGTTGTAACCTCAAATGTGCCTCTTTCCCCCCAGCACTGGAGCTGCCCTGGAGCTATTTGCCCTCACTGAGGTTAAACAGTACCAAAAACACGATGAGAGGGTGGCAAACAGGAACATTTCCCCTTCAGTTGTGCCACATGGGGTCATTAAACAGGGGAAGTTTAGATCGGATATAAGGGGGAAGTTCTTTACTGTGAGGGTGGTGAGGCACTGGAATGGGTTGCCCAGGGAGGTTGTGAATGCTCCATCCCTGGCAGTGTTCAAGGCCAGGTTGGACAGAGCCTTGGGTGCCATGGTTTAGTGTGAGGTGTCCCTGCCCATGGCAGGGGAGTTGGAACTGGCTGATTTCAAGGTCCTTTCCAACCCGAACTATTCTATGATTCCATGTCATGCTCTGCCCTGGAGCAGCCACAGAATCCCCGTAATGGGCTGAGTTGGAAGGGATTCTCTGGTGTCTAGCAAGAGTCAAGAACATTTCCTTTCCGAAGATATTAATGGGATCCCTCTCCTCTACCCACTTCCATGTTCATGTAACCTGTAGTACCTCAGACCCCCTTCTGATGGAACTCAGCAAGTGCGCCCCATGGCAGCTATGGCAGAAGCCACGCTCTGGTGCACTGACAGGCTCTGTTCCCTTTGGGAATTAGGTTAGGAATCAACGATGCCCTGGCAGAGCTCCACCCCTGAGGGAGCCCCACAGACCCCCCAAAAAGCTGGAGAGGTGCCTCTGACAAGTGCCTACGGGGACAGGACAAGGAAAATGGCTGGATCCCACCCTGAGCTACTGCAGTGGCAGACTATGCTTCCCATGGACCTTTTTCTACACTGTTAATGAGTTTAAAAAGGTCCTTGGCTGAGG